AAGGGCCCAAGCCAGAGACCTCAGCCTCAGAGTCCACAGGCTGGCTGCGGAGTCCGAGCCGGAAGCCTTGACTTCGGGCTTCACCGCCCTCTGGAGGACGGCGGAGACCGAGGCCAAGTTTTTGGTAGGTGGCTTGAGGCCTGGTGAGGAACCTGTCAAGCGAAGCTTCTTTTACCTCCACGCTCGTCATTTGCCATTGTCCTACGAGGTCATTCATGCTGATCTTGTTTCACCACGATTTCCAAGCTTCATCCTGAGAGCTTAAGCTCGCTCCAAATCCTTTGAAAGGACATTTATACTTGTGCTATGTTGAAAAGGTGCTCTCAAAGTTTTTTTTTGTTATTCAATGAAACTATAAGTCTTCCAAACTTCAAGCTTTTGTTGAACACGTCTTGCGCTTCTCTAGTCCACTCAAGTCAATCACATAAAGTATCTAAGCTTCTTAGGTTGTGAAAAAAAGAAGAAAGTTTTCAGTCGGACCTTTCAAAAACAAGTCTACTTAGAAAAAACGCAATTTTGGGGTCCGTTTGGAAAGGCAAATTTTTTTTCTTTAAATATTCATCGAGTACGGAGTGACCCTAACGAACCTAAGAAGAACTGCAACAAGCGTTTCAAAAAAAGCTTGAAAATTTCAAGTTATAAAACATTTGAAAGTTCGTCTGCAAGGCTTTTTTTTTTTGAAGAATACCTTTCAAGTTTTTTTAAACTACACCAAAGTCAATCACTTGATTCATTTGTGAATCAATGAAAACATCTAAAAGACATGAAGAAGTGGTCTTTGAAAAGAAAATTTTACTGAAAACAAAGTTTTGGTGACTTGAAATTACTAAGAAGTAAAAAAATCTCTCAAAAACGACAAAGTTTTTTTTGACTAATTGAATGAAGAATTGCGTTTTGAAATCTTCGCCAATTTGAAACAGTCAATATATCAACTTTTGAGCTCCAAAAACTGCAAAAAAATTTTTCTCAAATATATGTAGAAAGTGAATACAAAAAATAAGTTTTTAAATAACAGTTTTGCCAAAATTCAAAATTTTTTTTCGACCATTATTTAGGACTGTGTTGGAATGGAGAAAACTTTAAAACGCAAAACTCTAATTTAAATTCAAAAGAGAAGCCTTGCAGATGAACTATGAAAAATCTAAAGAGTCCAAAATTCGAGAGCACTTTTCTATCAAGACACAAGTCCTGCATGTTCCGTTCAAATGATCTGAAGATCAAATAGAAAGAGTTCGAGCTCAAGTTGGCTCAGGATGAAGCTTGGAAGATGTGATGGAGCAAAGGAGCAGGAATGCCCTCGCAAGACACTGTCAGGTGGCGCCCGAACCCACGCAAATCTACGCAATTTACTGATTGTTTGAATAAGACCATTTTAACATTCAAAAAAAAAAAAGCATTAAAAGTTTGAAAAAAAAACCGCAATAAGCTCATGAACTTTCAATTTGTCCGCTTCATGGATTTCTAAAGCTCAATTTTGCTAATACCAAGAATATCAATGAAAAATGGTTCAAGTTTCAAAAAAAGTTTTTAAATCGAAAAAAACATGAATTTATAGAAAGAAAACATTTCGTGAAGCGGCCAAGTTCGAAGCCCAAATAACCCATTGCGGATTTCCTTGTTGCAAAAAGAGTAAGTACTCAGTAAAAAGTTTGAAAAAGAAAGTAAACTCTAAAAAAATTGAATGAAATTCCGTTAAATTTTGGTAAAATGTAACAGTTTCGACTAAAAAACAACTCGCAAAAAATACCCTTTGAACTATCAAGTTAAATTAAAACTGAATCTTCATCAAGATCCGAACCTTCGTCGTGAGTTTAAAAAAAATCAGTTTCTGAACCACTAGACCAACCAGCAAATTGAGTACATTCCTATGAGCTCGGGAATCATATCAGGTTGTGTACAAATAAATCTCGCCTTTTATTGAACAATACCAATTGACAACAAGAACCTATGTTAATCTATTTAGGAACCTTAAAAATATATATATCTCAAAGAATCTCGAAAAACTGACATCTTGGACTAACTACCTGAGAAACAAAAAACTACCTGAAATTTCAAGATCCAGCTAGAAAAAATCAACGATCAGAGTATCCCTATCTACCTAAAAAAAAACCAGAAGCTAGCTAAATTCACATCAAAATGAACGAAGATTATTGCATACACCTGAAATAAAACTTTAAAAGCTAAAGTTTATCATCTATATATGAAGTCGAATGTATGAAGATTCATAGTCTACCAATAAACTCAGGTCTTTTTTTTATTGTAATTGGAATTCTAAAATTTCAGGCAAGAGTAAAAGTGTAAAAAGAACAAAATTTTCTCATTTTTCTTTGATGAAGTTCTCGTTCTTTCCGATCGAAAGTGTTGTATGAAAATACGGCAACCTGAACCTAATTGTGGACTTAAATCTCCGTAAACTCGACCTAACGCATTCTAAATATTGTTGTCACTCACCCTAAATTTCTATCTTCACAATAAATTCTTAAAGCTAAAAGTAAACGATGGACAGAACTACATAAAGGCCTAACTTTGAGATCAGTGCTGATCCATCTTCAATTTCGATGCTGCTTGAGAATTTGCGGCATTGAATACAACAGAAAATAAGGGAAAAAACTGAATTCAAAAAAAATTTGTGCGAAATATTTTTGATTTCATCCGGATCATGAGAAGCTTGGATATAGCACTGATCTGAAAAACAAAAAACTAAAACTTGGAAAAAAAAAGTGAAATTTATTTTTACACAACCCAATATACTGAACGCCATCTTCGAATCGACGAGCTTGGAAGGGAAAAGAAGCCGCGCCCCACAGTACCCCCACTCCACAGAGCAAAAGCCGCATGTATGCTCGGCTGAAGCCGGCGAGAGAGCACGGCATTTTAGGAGACGCCAGGCTACAGCTCTCCTCTTTCGTGATGATCTCTCTGGCCGGACAAAAGCCAAGGATACAATCGGCTTTTTTCTGCGCCACCACCGACCAAAGACGCCGGCAACATTCACCCCACGGACAAGAGACGGACAAAAAATTTTTTTCTTCTAGAAAGTTCATTTTAACTCGTACTATAAAAAAAGAAAGCTGGAAGGGTGGATGATGTCGCATGAAACTAAAACTAAACCTAAAAACTTAAAGAAAAAACTAAAACGCATACAACGTAAAAAGATGGAAATTGAAAGGGTAGGCGTTTTTTTAATCTTAAAGTTTATGACAAAACTCGAAAAAATAAAAACTATAAAAAGTAGCGATAAAAATCTAGTTTTTGAAATTTCTAACACTTATAAACCTACGAGTCAACATCTCGAGTGGAGAGTTAGTATTTTTTTCAAAAGCTTCTCAAAAAAATCTTTTTAAATAAGTGTTTAATACGGAAAAAAATGAATGTTTTAATATGGACACTTTTTTTAACTAGAAAAAAAGGTTTTGAGAACAATAAATCAACTGATTTTGATGAACGATTTTTTAAACCTTACCTAGTAAAGTTCGAAAGAAAAATTAAAAAAAAAGGTTGGTCAGAAAGTTGTGTCGCGTACCGGTTCAAAACACTTGTTGCAACTCTTTTGTGGCTTTAATAAACCTAATGTCAACATTTCGAGCCGAAAACTGGTTTTTTTTTTTTCAAAACTCCTTTTTTTATAATAAAAAACGGCTCAAAGGAATGGAAAAATTAACGCTTTTGAATGAAAATGGAAAATGAGTAAACACTTAACAGCTTTAAAAAAAAAACAATTCGTTAACTAGACTTCATTGCAGCTGACGGCTTGACGAGTTGACCCCTAATAAACAAAAAAAAAAGTAGAAAACAAGATTACAAAAACTACAGTAAGAAAAAAGTCTAAAAAATCAAGTTTGAAGAAAATTGAAGGGTTGTGGAACCGCAGCGCGACCGCGTTGCTTCTAGTGAAACTAGACGGAATTTTTTGAAAATTATATGCGGGCCTCATGCGATATCACCCAGAGGGAAAAAAATTAAAAAAAGCCTGAAAAAGATTAAAAGTTTGAATCGAACTTTCAAGAAGAGAAAAATTTTTTTGAATTGACACAAAAACTTTCCACGTTGAGAAACGTCGCTTTAAGGAAGCCAATCAATAAATACCTGAAAAAAATTGGAAAAATTTAATCTTCAAACGTTCCTCAACGCAAAAAGCAACATTGAACTTTTTGAATTTGATACCATCCAGTCGAGGCGTTGAAAACGTCGTCGGAGTCGCCATCCATCGGTCCTCTGGCAGCGGGGGCGGCCCTTCTGAAAAAAATCAATTAAAATCAACAACTGATTCTGGAACACTTAATTTGTCTAGCTTAAAATTATATTCTACGCGTTTCGAAAACTCTGCGAAGGTAGTTAAAAATTTTTTACATGTTATTCAAAAAAAAAAAATGCTTTTAAAAATAAGTAAACAAAATTACAACGCCTAAAAAAATTATACAATCAAACTATGTAAAACATCAATTACAATAATAAATTCAAAAATCAAGACGAGCGGCAGCAACACCCTGCCCAGGAAGGAGAAAAAAGAGAATGACGATTGTTTTTGGGACGCCGAACCTTTCGCGCCACTCCAGAGATCCTTCTCGAACCTCGGCCGCTTTGACTCCCCCGCCCTTAGATCAAAACTTTTGGCCAGATCAGACTCGCCATTTTTGATTATTTTTCGTCGGGGGTTCACCAAAAAATGACGCTGTTTTGGTCCCGCCCAAATTTTGTGGAATTTTCCACAATTCTGTTTAAATTGTTTAAAAAGCGACCGATGAAACAATAACAAACAGAGAAAAAATTATCTAGCTTCTTTTTCCGTTTCAAAATCGATTTTTGGCGTACTTTTATAAGACTATTTTACCACCCCAAAAAAGTGATTTCAATGCAAATATCTTGCCGTAAGAAGAGGGTCTTCAAGGGGGCTTAGAATGAGCGTTTTCCGGCGCCGCAAATGAGTTATTTCGCACTCCGACGCCCAGCTTTTCTGATCCAACGTCTTCTTCGAGCAACTTTGAACAAAAACTCTTGCGATGCTCTATTGGCCTTCATTCTGTGAGTTTTTTTCCTATTTATAAAAAATCGAGAAAAAAAATAATAAAATGAACTTCTATTAAATTTGGATAGGAAAGGAATATATGATGTAATAATAGGTCAATGGAGCTGGCGTTTTACGAATCAATAAAGAAAAAACACAGAAACAAGAAGAATAAAAATTATTGTCCGAAAAAATTTAAATTTAACAAAAATTAAAAAAAATTGAAAATTTTATTTGCGCGTAAAAGTACACACTTGCGTCGCTGTCGTCACGAAGAGCGTAAACTGGAGTCTTGTCGTGGTAATTTCAATCGATAAAAAAAAATCTGATTTCAAAAATTTGGCATGTTCTAAAACACGAGCGGTTGTGGGGCACGAGCGGCACGACCGTTACTAAATCACGAGCGGTTTCATTTTCGCTCCTTCGCGAACGCTTCTAAATCACGAGCGTTTTTGGCTTATCGTTCTGTTCGAGCGTTTCTAAACCGCGAGCGTTTCATTTTAATCATTTTCTTTATTACCATCCAAGTGTGTTTTTTTTTTCATATTTCTACCTTCTTTTTCTCCTTGAATAAAAATTTTGACGATCTTATATGCACATTTTTTCGCTCAATTTGTTGATTGATTCACATTTGAGGTTCATATAATGGATTTTTTCTAAGTTTTTTTGCGGTCTCTATAATTTCACAGAAAAATTTTGAGAGAAAGTATTAGAAAAAAAAATTTGCTATACGCAAAATTTGAGAAATATTGACTTTCATGCGAGACGTCTGTGAAATATTAGTTTATCATACGCAAAATCTGTGAAATATTGAATATGAAAATCAGATGAAATTATTAGAAAAAAAAATTTGCCATACGCAGAATCTGTGAAATTATAGAGACCGCAAAAAAACTTAGAAAAAATCCATTATATGAACCTCAAATGTGAATCAATTAACAAATTGAGCGAAAAAATGTGCATATAAGATCGTCAAAATTTTTATTCCAGGAGAAAAAGAAGGTAGAAATATGAAAAAAACACACTTGGATGGTAATAAAGAAAATGATTAAAATGAAACGCTCGCGGTTTAGAAACGCTCGAACAGAACGATAAGCCAAAAACGCTCGTGATTTAGAAGCGTTCGCGAAGGAGCGAAAATGAAACCGCTCGTGATTTAGTAACGGTCGTGCCGCTCGTGCCCCACAACCGCTCGTGTTTTAGAACATGCCCAAAAATTTTCCTTTTTTCGTTATTTCTATTTTGAAACAAGTGCTTCTCAGATTTATCTGTTCTATCGCTACCATTTCTCATCACTGGTTTGGAAAAATTCGTGGATGAGAACACAGTTGGCCTCAAGAATGAGTTTGTTGGTTGAATTTTGATTTTTCATAAGAAAGAAGCATTTTTTCAGGATGACGTTTGTTTAAGCGTGAAATTCCGAGTAGAAATACTTAATCTTCAGTTCAACAACACCGCAGCAGTACCTGTACGCCTTTATTGATGAAAAAAAAACGATTTAGAAATTTGCAGTTTGATTTGGCCGAAGGAAATGTGACGGGAAAATGTGCGCGAGAAAGTCGAAGCAGCGCAATTTTGTCTTCCACTATTTCCCACGACGAAAGAACGAAAAAGCTCAAGTTCATCTTTGGAATCGTGAGTTTCACCTATTTTTATCATTTTTTTCGATAAATAAATATTTTTTTCAGAAAGAGATGCGAGTGAAGAAAGTGGATGAGTTGCGTTGGCAACTTCGGAAAATTGTCTACTCTGAGACATTCGAAGGTTAGAAAGTCGATTGATTTCATAAAAAAAAAAGTTTCTCAGGAGACTCTGCGGTATTTGAATCCGACAATTCATCAGTCATTTTTTCTGCCCCGTTAAATCAAAAATACGTTTGCAAGGACCGTATCAATGTAACGTTGCGCAGTGACGAATTCAAGTAATTTTTTTTGTGAGTTTAAAAAAGTGAATTTTTTTCCGATTCGATATGCTGGCCATGTTCTACCCAGAGATCGACGTACAACCATATGGTCCAAAAAGTAACTGTGAGTTTTTTTTTCATTCGAAATGGAATTTTGTTTTGGAATCAGTTTAGAATTCCTTGCTCGATTATTTTTAGACGCAAAATGGTACAGTAACTTAAAAAATCTTTGAGAACGAAAATTTGGTTCAATTTTTTCTTTGTTCGGTAACCTGGCAAGAATTTTTTTCATGAAATATAAAAAAACGAAAGTTAAAATTTTGAATCAAAAAAAAGTTTTTTTTTTCCGGGGTCCAATCTTTGCAAGCTAAATACTGATTTCCAAAGTATCACGAAGCACCTTAATAATCTTCAAAACTGAGAAAAATTTATTTATTTCTAGTCTACCTCTGCGAACGAACTCGCCGCCGTACTTTGTCCGAATCGCTCCAGAACAAGTCGACGATTTTCTCCGGCGTCGTTTTGGCCTTTTCTTCCGTCGGAACCATCATCGGCCACATGGTCCGTCGGCATTTCATTCCGCAACGGAAAGAAATTTATGAGAATCTGGGTGGAAATTAGAAAGAAAGCTTTATTGTACGAGAAAATATTAAATAAATAGAGATTTATTATGATGCGTTTAGGTAAAAGATCAACAATTTTTTGATTAGAAGGTTTGATAGGGTAAGGACGTAAAGCGCTTATAAGAATGTACGTAAGATTTCGAGACAAAGAGAAATGTACAGCGTTGTTTCAGATCATTCAAGACTCCCTGGATCTATAAATAGTTCAGGAGGGATTGTGAACAACTTTATCAGGTTGATAAATCAGAAATGAGCCTCTAGTTTGTGGTTTTGTATTCATTTTACAATAGAAACATTTTTCAAAAAAAAAAAATTTTGACAAAAAAAACGTCTTGTTTTTAGTGCAAGTGAGTACATTTTGTACCAATAACTCTTTTTCCACAATATTATCGAATTTTGAACAACCGAATTATAAATTAAATTTCTGAAAATCGTCAGCAAATATTTACGACGAAAAATTCGTCAATGACCTCTAGGACGTCTTCGTCGTCTTCCTCGTCGTCATCATCAGAATTTTGGTCGCCCCTTGCGTGACCCCTTAAGAACTCGAAAATTCGGTCTTTGATCCAACTCTTGTCGTGTGGCGTGTATAGGCTTGTTTCCTGAATCAGGGAGATTTTTGTTAACCTCTAAACTTTTTAAAACTCAAAATTTTGAACGTTAGCTTTTCCTTTTTGCCGCCAAAAATCATATAAATTTCGGCGTTTTTGAAGGTTCTCGAAATAGAAGCGCGAAAAAAAGCTGTGTTTACAGTGTTTTTGAATTCAAACTAAACTGTATTTTATTCATGAATACGAACCGTATCATAAACAAGTACTGAAAGATCGTTTAACCGATCTATAAACGTGAAAAGATGAGTGATATCGTAGGTGATGCTCGGGGAGCCAGGACTCGTCTTTTTCAGGAACTCTTCGTAGACTTTGCAGACTCCTGAAAACAGGGTTACAGCATTTTCATACCTTATGAAATGAATAATGACAAAAAACCTACAGAAGAATAAGAAATGATTCTTAAAGTTAAAGGAGCATCGCGTGCGAGGCAGAAATTTTTTTGAAATGGAAAAGAACTAGGCCTACCAAATGCCTTTATTTAGCTATGCGAAGAAACTGTACAGAAAGTCAGCAATAAAAAGTTACTGAATTATTCAATTGAAATAATTTTTCAGATACTAGACTTTCAGTGGTCTCGGAAGATTATTCATTTCGAAGACTTTTTCGAGCCGATACTTGATTTTTCGAAGCCAGCTTCAGCTACAACGCAAAAATAGGCTCAATTTTCGATTTTAAAAGACACAAAATATTTCATAGACCTTTCCGGCATTATCTGGGTACATATTTGAGATCAGCATGATAAAATACATTTATTGAGTTTAGTCTTTTCAGATGGCCTTCAAAAAAGAAGAAAAAACTACAAACCTTCCAAGCAATCGTCGACACAATTGTAGTCGGTCCAAGTCCGCGAATCGTGCTTTTCTATCGGTTGAAGCAACAAAATCGTGTGCTCCATCTTTTTCAGAAAATGCAAAAATTATGATGTCAACTTGGAAAATCAAGAAAAAAGCGATGGTCAATTGGTCGTAAATAATGATGAACACAGAAAGTGCACATCTTATCAGCTAATTTTTGCAGAATTCCTTCTTATCACAGTGTCACCTAAGTAGTTGTACAGATCGGAAGCTGAAATTGGGAATGAATCAGCCATGAAGTCACTCGGAGGGTTACTTTAGAGCTCGCTAGTAATTTTTATGTCCAAAATGGAATTTCAATTTTCGAAAACTAAACTAAAGTTTGTTCCAAGTGCATTGTCCGTTATCAATCAGTAGTGTTAAGGCGACAGCTAAGAGGCTTTGAATTGAAGATTAAATGATAGGAGTACGTCAGAAATGTTCATACAATCGTGGCCGAACTGCACTAGGAAGGGCTGAAGATTGGCGCCAAAACTTAAACTTGAATCATCGCGCCAACCTTCATCCATTCCACGTTCGGAATTTCCCTATAAATGTGTCCTGAATAATTTTGAAGTGACCAGCTGAAAAAGCCAATAAATCGTGACAGTTTGAGTTTTCAAAATTTTGATTAAAAAGACTTTTTTTTCCAATAGAAAGAGGCTGAGCAGTTTCTAAAAGGATCCCTTGGAATGGTTTTTTTGTTACAACAAGAGAACCTTCAAATGACCCTTCTGGATTTGAAAATCTGCGTCAACCTGTGGAACCTTGAAAATATAAATATAGACCTGCAGTTGCCAGAGGAGGCGGGGAAAGTCAGAGCTGTTCTCAAGTCGGGGCGACCCTGGCCGAGGCCGCCCCGACCCGACCGCGACGCGCCCCGGCCCGCGAAGCGGTTTTCATTCAGGCCCCCGAAGCGAGCGCGAGGATTTTTTTTTCCGTATTTTTTGTTTTTATTTCGGTTTTTCATATTGAAAATGAATTTTTAAGTTATTTATGATCCATGAAAAGTTTAATTTTATTGTTTTTTTGATAGAAATCGGGCTTTTTTTGATTTCACTTTTTTTCGAATCTTTTTCGTTTTTTCTCGTTGTAAATAAAAAATTGATATTTCAAATAGTGGTTTGAATGAATTTTTTTGCGAAAAATGAAATTCCTGATGATGTGAAAATTTCAAATTATTTCTTATTTCTTATTTTGTTTTTCTCTAGTTCTGTATATTGTTCTGGCCACTTAGAAAACTATTGAATTTTTCGGATTAATATCTCATTTCATCGGTTTTTTTCTTTATGTGCTCGAAAAAAATGTTTTTTTGTTTCACTTTCATTTCAGTAAAACTTGCGCTTCTTTCGCTTTCTTATAATTCGCAAAAAATCGGGAGTCAAAAAATTGTATCTACGGGTCGACCGAGTTGACCCTTACCAAAGGCCGACCGCGGCCGCCCTCGAACACGCCGCAAATCGGGGCGCCCTCGGTCGACCGGGGCCGCCCCGAGAACAGCTCTGGGGAAAGTGGTTCCTATTCTCTAAAGTAGTCACTTCGGATTCCCTGAATCATCGAAGCTCAAAATAGTCCAAAACCTTTTCGAGAAGGTTCTTTAAAATGATATAAAATGAAGAAAAATAACAGAATAGAAAAACGTATATCTTACCATCCGCAGTAATATTTGCCGTCAAATGGAAGCCAATTCATCGAATATTTCTGTCCTCTTTCGCTCAAATGAAACGCAGTTCCCGGAAAAAGGCGTTTATTGCGGGTTTTTCTCGAAGATTCACGGGAACAACATCAAAATAGTAATGGATGGTACTAGAAAGTCCCCTGAGAGGGTAGGAATCTTCAGGCCTTCCATTATACTATAGTACAGTTCCAGTTTGAAAGTATAAGAATTGAATTTAAAAAATAAGATTAGATTGAATTTTAAGGAAACTAAAATAGAGAGATCAGAGGTTTTAAAACTTGCAACCAGATTGAATAAAAGGCAATTTTGTATACTAAAAATTGAATAACGAGGCCTTTCTCGATTCAAAGCGACGTCGGCGGCGTCGCGTTCTCGTCTCTCATTTCGGTCAACTCGGCTTCTTCGATCGGAGCAACAGTTTTATTTGGTGATGTCCCATTGGAGCGCCTTTTGCGGCCTCTTCTTCCCTAAAAAAAAATTGATTTATCCGGAAATCTTTCGACGCGAAATTAGAAAGAAGACGGCTTCAAAATGAAAAAAAAATGTTGTTAGAAAGTTTTTGCGAACGGTAATCCAAACTGAGATAGATAAGACTAATGAGAGAGCGTGAGAACCTTAGAGGTATCTCTTTCTCTGGTGCCTCTCCAACTGCTATGATCTCTAGTTCAACAAGCATTGGAATCTCTCGAAAACAAGCAGCAATGGTTTATTGAAAAATGAGCAGTACTCCGAAGAATTTTTCCGCGAAAAGTGATCCTTGAAGTGAAATCGAAGCTGAGAGTAGCGGAGAACGAGAGAAAGAGTATGTGAGCCATGGAGACTTTCGTTCTTTGGTGCCTCGTCATTTATAACGCTTTCTCACAACGTGATATCACTGGAGAGGTACTTAAGTGGTCACTAGAACGACCTCTCATTAGCTCTAAAACAGTTGAAAGGTTCTCCAGAGAGATAAGCGAAAGAAAATTTCTGGCCATATCAATTGCTCGCTAGTCAAAGCTGCTCGGGAATTTCTAGTGAAATGAGTGTTTCCAAACCTTGGGCGGCGACTCTGCTCCCTCCAAGGCGACGGACTCGTCGGCTTCGGTGCCACCTCGTCGCTGGTTGAGTTCTTCACGCGACGGCGCGACGAGGCGAATGTTGGGGCCGCCCAACTTGGCCAAGAGCTGCGACTCGGGTCGCGTGCTCGTCACTCGCGACGGTTCCTGACGAGTCTCCGGACGTTTCTCTGATGGTTCGGCCTGCTTTTTGGCCTTGTTGATGCGCGTCTGAAATGATTTAAAGTTGAATTTGAGAGGAGGCGAAAAGGCGTTGGTCTTCAGTTTCTACGATGACAAAGTTCTGGTTTAAAAATGATGTATGCTCACACGGGAAATAATTTTTGCTTCGCAGTTTGAATTTTACAACAAATTCGCTCAAATACTATTTGAATGACTAGATGAAGATAAAAAGAACCCTTGACTTTCTCCCAAAAGCAATGAAAATTTCAAAATTTTTCTCCATTTGTTAATGATAAACTTTCATCTACTTAGGAATTCCAGAGTAGTCCCTATAGGGGTTAGAGTGGAAAAAGCCCCTATAGGGGCCGAAAAAGTGGTCTCTAAAGGGGTCGAAAAAGTGATCCCTATAGGGATAGAATTAGATGGTCCCTAGAGGGGTCCAGGGTCAGACCCCTAAGACCCTATAGCTTAAGTGGATCCTATAGGGGTCTTTCAATTTCATTTCGAAAACTCTCATTTTTTTCAATTATCATATGAAAATGCTTCTTCGCTTGGAGTTCATAACAATTATCGACTATCATGTCCTCTATAGGTGCCACTTTTGCAAGCTTTACCTTGTTAGTTACCCCTATAGGAGCTGATAAAATGGTCCCTAGATGGGGCCCTCCAAGAGACCCTAAAGTTTGCCCTATAGGAACCACTCTGGATTATCTAAGTAACCCAAACTTATCAAAAAACTCTTGAAAAACGGAATATTAGGACCTCCAACGCGACAAGTGTTCCAGCCTTGTTGAGGTCTTTGGACGAGGGCAAAATGTCGTATTCTTTCTCGTCGGCCACCGCTTCTTTGAGCATCTTCTTTCGGTTTCGGTTGTACTCCGCCGTGACTTCCTCGGGAAGAGTTGGGATATTCTGAAGCCAACAAAAATATTGTCTTACAATTGCTATTCATGATTGGAAGCTTTTCCGATTGGATATCAAGTCGGAAATTGAAAGTTCGGTTAACAACTTTACTTCAAAGTAACATTTTTCTTTGCCCAAACGTTATTGCTGAATTTATCCGCTGAGCGTAAATGACTTCGCTAATTCAGCCGTCCTTTTTTTCGAATATGTTTTTTTCAATTTAGTTTAAATTTACCTATTTTTTTATTTTTAAATTTTTTTCTTATATCATCTATGGAACGACAGATTTTTTTGCAGAAACTCAGCGTCTTCCCTCAGAAATTCATTTTTACATTTTAAAAACTTCTTTAGACTTATATAAAATTTCAATTTTTCTGCAGTTTCAATGGAGCGCAAATGCTCGCTCAAATTCAGCCGCGATTTTTTGAGGTAAAATTTTCGAAAAGCTCTTCTTACACTGAAAAATATTTTCTTTTCTTGATCAACTCTCCAATGTTTCTATACTAACTGGAAAGCTTTTTTTCACTTTTTCCTTTTTTTTAATGGTTTTTTTTACTCCCTTACCCCTCCGAACATGGTCCTCTGTAGTGCCTTGGCGCTCTTGCAGACCTGCATCGGGTCCAAAGCGATATTACCCGTCACATCGTTAACCTAGGTACAAATCAATGATAAAACTTGTATGAATTGAGGAAAATTCACCTTGAAGATACCAATCAAACGATTGGCCAGTTCGAACATGTTGTTCCGCAGGGAGATGATGATGAACTGAGCGTTTTTGGCTCGGCTCTGAAATGAAGGAAAATGATCATATTAATCTTCAAATTAGAAAAATATCTAAAAAACAAAATGTTTAAAAGAGCTTTTATAGAGACAATAAAATCGGAAGAATCTCCAAAAAAAATTTCTAAGGGATCTCTATTTAACCTGTGTCGTGCCTTTTTTAAACTTTCTTGTAATGATGAAGATAACAAAAATTACACCTAACTTTCTAATTTTTTAAATCTCCATTTTTCACACAACGATTTCCGTTTTTTCCCCTCAAAAATAACCTTGATATAATGCCCAATAATCGACACGTTGCGGAAGTCCAAAGCGGCGTCGATTTCGTCCATCACGTAGAAAGGTGTCGGTCTGAAAAAGGGAAGGTTTTTTCGGAAAAATTTTTGAAAGAAAGCTTTCGTTGCATAAGATCTTTCTTGTTATTTCGAAATGCGCCCGACCTCAAGCGAGTTTCGCGGCAAAGAAAAAAAAAGCCCAAAGCTTATAAAACAAAGCCGGCTTCTAACCGCAACCCTTGGAGCTTTTTCGAATGCGTTCAAAGCAAGTGGTCGCATGAGGAATGGCTCTAGATACGACTTGCGCCCGACAACTCGTGACTTTCGCTTCGTATGACGCTTTTAATTAAGGTTCAAGCTCTGAAGAGCGATCTCTCAAACGCTCTCTTTTTTTTACGTTATCTCTCACTTCTGACAAAGTCGTGAGAGTCGGGCGCAACTTGGAATCGGCTATTTCGAACTAAGAGCTTCCAACGAATGAACTTTAACATACCTGAACTGATGCAAGGCGAAAACCAAGGACAATGAGGCGATCGTTTTCTCGCCGCCAGACAAATTCTCGATGTTCTTCCAAGTTTTCTTCGGTGGCCGGACACTGGAATTTTCCGATTAAAACTAGGTATAAAAGTTAGAAAAATCGAAGCAGAAGAAGAAAGAGAAAAAATGAATAAAGAGTTCCTGACGGACGTTGTTCAGTTAATTTTGAAGAGGAAAACTATTTTGGTCAATTGTCTAAAAAGCTCAAGAAAAAGAAAGACCATCCCATGAAAAAAAAGGAAAAAAGAGAAAATTGGAATGTGTAGTTTCCACAAAATGATAAGCCATTTTTAAAAATTGTAAAAGTTTCTCAAAACGTCCGTTCGAACCAGAAAAAAGGAGCAAAAATTCAAAATCATTTTTCCTATGCTCTTTCAAAAAATTTGTTGCATTTCATTTATAATTTTCCCATTCCACTTTTCTTTTGATTTTTGCAGAGCCACATATACAAACTCACATCGGGGGAGCCTGTTTGTCATCAAATCTGAATGATAGAAAGAAAATTTGAAAAGCTATTCAAATTCAGGAAAATGAGGAAGATATCGATTCAGAATTCTTCACTTTCCAGGACTTGAAACCGGCCGCAAAGCATGGCTCATTTCTTCGAAGCTTTCATGCAGCAGAACGAAAACTACTTGCGCTTGACAGCACCCTCTAGCACAATTAAAAAGTCAGGGAGAGCAATGATATGAATAAACCCGCCAAAACGCATCGTTTTGAGACGTTCTTGGCGGGTTCGAGACGTGGAAATTTGGGCAGAGCAGATCGAAGAAAAATATTAAAAGATACACTAGTTTGACGCCTTCGATGTAGGGATCCCCAGTGGCCGAGAGGACGGCGTCTCCGCCCAGAGTGATCATTTGGTAGAACTCCCTCAGCGAGGCCGACATGAACTCAAGACCAGACTGAAATTCAAGTTTAGAAGCGGCTTTTTTGGCTTAAAAACTGCTTTTTCAAGTTTGCTTGGCGCCCTGAAAGCTCTAGAATTACAAAATCTTTCAGTATAGAATAAATAATTCAATGAGACTCATACAGACAGGTCCTCGTTTTAACAGTTTTTTCAGCGCAGTCATTTCTATTTAAATAAATAAATCCGCAAAAATTTCGTCCATTGATTTTTTGGGATGAAAAATGAAACTTTTTTTCAAAAAGGACAATATGAACCCACTTCTTCTTGCGCTCAAAATTAATTATTTTCACTCTGTGCGCCTCGACTTGACCTATCTGCTTTTCCTGTTTCCATAGCCTCGTCGACGAGAGAAAAGAGGCCGCAGACAGGTCAGACTGTTTCAAGTCAAACTAATGATGCATTCTTGAGAATCGTTTCTTTTATGGGACTTATTTTGGACCTTGAACTCATCATGTCGAATCCTCTTGATGAGCGTCGATTTGGCATGATGCGCCTCGTAATTCTTCAACAAGGCGTTCGTCTCGTCCGTCTCTTTGTTGTACTTTTTGACCTAAAAAAGGGGATTTTTCAGGGAAAGTTTAAAACTTCGATCTGAAACCATCTACTTTTTTTCTTGTATCAAAAATTCTCTTGAAAAAACGAATTTTTTGATTTTTTCTCTACTTCTAGCAGTATTTTTTCAAACAGTAAAATATAAAAACCATCGTAAATTGGAATAAAAAAGTTCTTCCCACTTTTCCAGAGTTATTTTTTTTTCAGAAACGTTGAATCCTAGAAATAAATCCAATTTTTTATATTTTCCAAAATACTTCAACTGCAATCTTTTCACATCAAGGATCTTCGAAAACTGGGAATTTTTTTCCCGGTTAGTTTTTCAAATAAATTTATTTTTTTCCTGTCTTTTTACCTTGGCCCGATACTCATCGATAACGCTAATGTTGACGTTTTTCCTCGTCACACTGAGCCGCTGTTCTTTGGCTTTCAGCTGGAAGTTCAGGTCGCCGATTTCGTTCTTGGTGATGGCTCGGAGCTGGAATAATGGTTATATCTTCAAAGAAAATCGTGAAAAAAAAACCTCCTCTTCAGGCAGCAAAGGGACCTTCTCAAGCGACTCTTCGTTGTCACCGATTTCCTGAGAAAAATTGGAAAAATCAGATTAATTTTTCAAATGAAAGTTCACAATTTAAAATGAGTAGTTTTGAAAAAATTTGAGGTCCTTCCAAAAAAATCGAGAAATTTTTTTCAATCTTAAACATAACCGACTTCACACATCCTTTCGAAAAATCGAAAAAAATCTTATTTTTTTCATATTAAAAATATTATTTTTTTCGTGGATCTTTTCTAGGTTTTCGAAGCCGTAAAAAGTGTTTTTTAAATCGAGTAAACTTTCAAAAAACGCTGAAAATCGACAAATTGTTTCCACCATTCTTCACATAGCTCCTGAGATTTGCTTTTCGCCTTACTTCCAACTCAAAAACCGCTATTTTCTCTATCAAAAGCTCAAAGTCCCCCCGGAGACCTCAGGCTTGTTGGCAAGCTCAGCGCGGAGGCCGTACTCCTGAGCGTAGGTCTGGGCGCTCAGCTCGTCGACCAGCGTTCGGAGCTCTTCGATCGGGACGTTCGACAGCTCGTTGACGCCTCCGATTTCCAGCTTCAGCTCTTCCGGCCTCACATTGTCCAGGGAGGGCAGCACTGGGATCACGTTGAGTCGCATTCCGTCGAGCTGAACATTATCGAAATAGATAATTTAGAAGAAAAAAAATATTTACAAGAGATCCGTGGTCTTTTGAAGAGACGCCAAAGGAACATAGATTCTCCAACTTTCTGTGATTACATTGGTAACGCAAAAGTGCTTCGGGCGTTTCTAAGCGATTCTAGGGATCACTTAAGAGGGTTGACGCTACTAAAGTGGTCCCTAGAAATGCCAAGAAACTTTCGAGCCTCCAGCCTTTGAAGAAAAATAATATGCGAGATCCGTGGAATCCTGAAGAGACGCAAAAGAAACAGAGATTCTCCACTTTTCTGTCGTCTCTCCAGCTCGCCTTGATCTCTTACTTTTTCAAGTTTTCGAACGGAATTTGGATTTTTTATTCTTTCGGTCACATTCAGAACAGTGCTCCAAGCCTGTTAAAGAAGTACAAGAAGCTCATTTTGAAATTATACCAAGGATCTCTCTCAAATCCGACCATAACTATCCTCCTTTCTCTCACCTTTTTCTCGATATCATCGCATTTCGACCGCAGTACAGCCAGCTGGTGCTTTTTCGTCGTCACATCTTCTTCCAAGTTCTGAAGAGGAAAAATAAATGGATTTTTCCCGAGTTGAACGGAAAACCTGCAGAAGCTTATCATTGGACGTTTCCTCATTGGTCAGGGCCGATCTGTTTTTTCGCAGTTCATTGAAACGCTCGTCAAATTCTTGCAGTTTCGCCTGAAATATTTGAAGGTTTTCGAAAAGAAATGGGATGATTTGAAAGAGAAACCATGGCTGGCTTTTCGGACTAGAAACTCAAATTTTTTCTGGAATTTAAACTATTTCTGAAAGAAATACTTCAAATTCTGAAGTTTCGAATTTCCGATGAAATTAGTGGTTGGAAGGACTTGATGGAAAAAAATTTCTACGACTATTCCGACCGATGTGAAGATCATCTACATCACGATGAGCATATTAACTAGATTTCCTACCAAAAAAGGCATCAATTTTCGTCTCGTTATTACGTTTCTTCAACTCTTATATCATTAAAAAGGAAAAAAAAGTTTAGAATTGAGTTTTTCTTTACATTTTCCTTACTTTTACCACGCAGAAATTTCATTATTTCATTTATTCACATCTTCATTTTCATTTTGACTCTCTTAAAAAAACGGCTGGCAACTTGGATTATCATATTTTTCAGAAACTTCTCTCTATCAAAATCTCAACCATTTTCTATCAATTTTTTTATGCAAAAATTCTCTTCAAGAAAAAAATCTTAAACGATAAACTTCTTTTTTCACGGATTCGAACAAACTCTAAAGGATATTATACCAATTGAATGGAAACTTCTCTTCAAGAGAGATCTTGAACGGTTTTCCTACCTGAAAACCTCATAATTTTCCTATTTTCAAACCATTTTCCTTCAATTTTCAACTACAAAAACCGTACATCGAGCTGTATCAAGGCCTCTCGCGCCGCTCCAACGTCGGCCTCATCTTCCGCCGCGTCCAACTTGACCATTTCTTTCTCCTTCTTCTCGATGTCTTTTTCGATCTGCGTGATCACTTCTTCGATCTGGAAATGTGAAAATCAACTACGTTTCTTTTTTTTTTGAACAAACTTTTTCGATATTTCTCGCCGAACTCGCGATGGCCGCAGTTTCGGCGGCGATTTTCTTTTCCACAACGACATAGCGATCATGCGCGGCTTTGGCTTCGTCTTTGTGAACCTTCAAGTTGAAAATTGGAAATTTTTAAGTGAAAATGAATAAAAAATAAGTTCTTTGATATCAATATCCTTCATTAATTTTTTTTTTACTTTTCCTGTCTCGAATTTTAAGAACAAGGGTTCTAAAGTTGACTTTAATCTTTTTGAAAAACAGATTTTCGAAGAGTTGAGCAATTTTCGATGCAGGAAATGATGAAAACTACCTTAAAAAAATGAAAAAAATTCAGAAAAATCTGGAAGATCCAATTCTTTTTCGTTGAAATTCTAAAGTTCCCTCTTAAAATTCAACTTTCAACTACTAAACCCATTGAAGTTCCCAAGGAATTTCGAATAAATTCCTTGAAAATACCGCAACTTTTGAGACAGGAAACAATGAAATCAACTTGAGAAATGAGAAAATTTACAGTCGAACTCGATTTTGATGAATCTCAATTTTTTTTTTCCGGTTTAACCTGAACAAGATTATTGAAGATTTCATCGATTTTGGCGTTTATTTCGTCCAATTTCGCCCGGTACTTGGCTACACGAGCGCCCGCAGCGTCGCGTTCTAAACAATCCAAATCAAAAAAATTATTTTGAATTTAAGAACAACCTATTTTTATTTATTTTTCAAAAGTTTAGAAAAAAAAACAAAAAAAATCGACTTATAATCTATCTTTTTCACTTTCTGACTGGTATTAAGAAGTTAGCGGTACAATCAGAACAGTCGGTTTTTGTTATAAAAAATAATCAGAACTTTCCAACCATTTTCTCGCTCCTTTAGGGTTCACTTGAGTGAGTATACATACCCTGCAGTAAGATAACAATTTCTCTTTTTTGTCATATTTTTTTCAGGGGTGGTCTAATTATTGTCAAATTTTCTACAGTTGTGCCCTACGGGTCCAGTTCATTATCACAGGAAAATTAGTTCAATAGCTGCATTTTAAAAAGTGAGTTACGGTCTGAAACCTGAAATCAACAAAATCTCCGGACCGAGAAACAAATTTAAAAATTTTTTTGGCTAGGAAACAGTTATTGAACACATTTTTATGGTTCACTGAAGCTTCGAGTTCATTATAAAATCGCTTGCTTTACTGTAAATCTATTACCCAGAATAAAAAAAAGCTCAAAGATGACACGCCCTTGATATATTACTGCAAGGAACCGTATCTTTTTTCAAACCTTTGATCATCTCATCCAGAGCGACTTGGCGTTGCTCCAAGTCCTTCTCGTCGACATGCACCTTCGCGGCTTCGATTTCTTGGGAGGCGATCGTCTTTTTCAAGGTGGCAATTTTCGTTTCAACGCCCTATAATCCCTCAGTTTTCATGATTTTCCAAAAACCCTCTGGATGAACCTGAAGCGACATGTCCAGCTGCCTTTTCCTATCAGTCATTCGGTTGATCGAGGTCCTCAGCTCGAATATTTTCTGGTCCAGCTTCAAATTGTTTTCTTGAGGGTATTTTCGTTTCAGGACCAATTACCGTAGTCAGCTGACCAGTGAGCTTTTCCAATTGTTCGCTTTTTTCGGCCAGTTCTTTTTCCATTTTCTCGATTAAAATGAGCTGTTCGGCCTTGTTGACGCCTCCTTTGCTCTTCTTACCAATCAGACCTCTGGGAAAATCGGAATTTTCTTGAAAATTTGTAAGGCAGTTGGACTCTCAGTGAAAATCTTCGAAATCGCAAAATACCAATATTTCTGGTCTATTTAATTTAAGAAGGACAGTTAAAAAAGCTAATCTTTGAAATTTTCGCTGATGCGCTTTGTAATAACTCGAATCCATTGCGAGAACCATTTCAACTTATTTTTATAACTTATATTAACATTAAAGAAGCCAGTAACCTTCATTTTTTCCTTAATGAAATGAACTTTAAAAGTAAGAACATGAATCAAAATTAGAAAACGTGAAAATATTTTTCGGAGTGGAATTAAGCACATCTCATGTGAACTTCAGAAAAATTGCAAAATCATTATTTTTTATTTCCTTGTAGTGAAGGTGATCTTATGCCGTGTAAAAAGTAAATTTTGATAAATTCAAAATTGTCTCAGCCCTCCAAAATTTAGTTATATTCCTCCTTTTCTAATTCCTATTTTCAATTTTGCGGAGTGTCTTTGAACAATACATTGATTTTTAAAAAAAGATAATAATTCGATTTTTTTTTTCAATATCTGTCGTGTATCATTCCCAATCAAAACTCCTTTTTCTTTTTCGTAAAAAGTCATTTTTTTTAATGGTTCAAATTACCTAAATGAGACAAATTTTTCTTTCTCATTTCCTACCTCACTTTGGCGCCACCTCCAGTGATACTAGCCGTCGTCGACAAACTCGAACCGCATTCCGTGAACATGTTATAACGTCCTAAAATCCGTAAATCGATCATTTGTTGATTTTTCGAAATGTATAGACCAGGATATTTGCTGTGGATATTCTGGGCATCAAGGATGGTCGGCAGGACGATCGTGTCGAACAAAGAATGATAAAATACTTTCCGGAGACGATCTTCGCTGATTTTCAACAGGTCAAAGGCCCTCGGCGCTGGGCTGAAAAATTTATTTTTTCTGAATGAAAATTTGAAGAAGAAAGAATCGAAAATGCTTTCGCCGAAGGAGTGGGAGAATTAAAATGGACATATTAAACTACGTGAAAATTTCAGACTTTCTTTGAAATATCATGAAAAAAAGCTTCTTGATTGATCAAGAGAACGGAAAAATGATTGTGAAAAAGTGGATTTTTTTGAAGTTTTTTTGATACTCTTGAATTTCTACAAAGGGCGTCAAACATGAAAAAAATAAAATCATACAAATTTCCAGCGGCCATTTCCTTCTGGTAGCTCGGAATAACGTCCATACACACGAAAGAGGCGCGGCCGATTTGGTTCTGAAAAAAAAGTAGTTATTTCTCTCAGAAAAGCGGAATAAAAAGGTTCCCTAGCCAGAAAGACCAAAAAATATTATTTCAAAGTTTCAAAAGTCCAGATATAAAGTATTTATGGAATTCTTCGCGTTATGAATTTCAACAAATTGCGGATTTCAAGCCTTTTTTAGACTGAAACTTCAGATAAAAGACCTTAATTTCGCAAAAACGAATATCATCCCATAAAAATTGAATGTTCTAGACCTTGGCCAAGAAGTCGATGGCCTTCTCGGCGTCGTCCTTGGTCTCGCAGACGTAGTTGTTGAGGTTTCCCAGCATGTTGGAGCACAGGGCGACGTCGTACTTCTCCTCGATTGTGGCCAGGTCGCCGAGTCTTCCGATCAGTCCGGGCAGGGTGCCGTTCAGCCTGGCCACCTCCAGCTCGTTGTACAGCCGATCTTGGTCCTTGTCATTGGAGATGGTGTTCTTCCGCTGCGAAATCTCCGAGTTCAGGGTTCGAACCTGGAAGAAAACGAATTTTTTTCGGGTGACTGATAACTCCGAGTTCAAAGTTGTTGGTTTAAAATCACTTCGGGATATAGGCTAAATTGGAAATCTGAGAGTACAAAGAGGAATGAGTCTAACAACGACATATCGCAAAATATTGATTTTTACTGTAACTTTTAGGCGCGAACTCTAAATTTTTGAATTATTCGGGCTCTTTCTGCGGAAATTTCAAACCCACCGTAAAAATTCATACAGTAACATCAGAAAAGATACGAAAAACGAGATTTCGATAAATAACTATCTTTTATTATATTCAATCTTCCTGAAACTTTCTGGAGTTGTGATGACCGTTATTTGCAACACTTTGAAGTTTCAGTTCACAGGAAAAAAAAAACGCAGCTTTGGAAACTATCCGGAATTTTGAATTTCTTGTGAACCAAGTCGCGTTTTTTCGTACCTTTTCTGACGGTATTGTTTATTGCAATGTATCGTTGTAAGACCCGCTTTTTCCCAAGGGCTCTCGTGATTCGAATTTAGCCTATTTTCCGAAATTATTTTAAACAAACTTTTTTTTCTGGATCCTTTCCACTAGAATATCCCTTTTTCAGGCTTTTTTCATTTCTTGGAAGCTAATTTCCCATTTCAACCACGGCCAATTTTCCAACTTCCCCACCTCGTTGGCCAGCTTCTGCTTCTGTGGTTGGGCGTTTTCGACGGCTTTTTGGGTTTCTTTCAGAGACTTTTCGTCTTCGGGCAGCTTCTCGTTGATCTCCACCAGCTCCCTGGGAATTTCATCATCAAAATCGCTTTCTTTTTTTGTCCGGTCAACTTTTTCTCCTTCTCCAATCGTTGTTCCGTGTCAGCGAGCGCATTTTTGAACTCAATCAGACGATTTTTGTCCTTACTGGCAATTTTTCTCAAGTCCGAGAGTTCAGCTTCGGCGATTGTGGTCTGAAAAAAAATTGATTTTTAGCAGGTAAATTTTAATTCAAAGGGAAATATTTCGTATCATACCGGGTTATTTATGAGGTCTTAATCACGGAAAGTAGCTTTAAAATCATTGGAATTTGTTCAAATTACATCAACCCTAAAAATAAACTCCTATATAATTTTTTTTTTTCTTCTAAAAAGCTTCCTACCCTTTTTGATGAGAGAATTAGAGTTTTAATATGCAAAAAAATTTCAGGAAACATTTCGAAGCGGCTTTTTTTCTTTTCTTGCTGTGATTAAATCTCATTCAAAAAAAATTTTTTTGGAGAAAAATTGATAAAAAATCAAACCAAACATTGGAATGAAAAATACACGAAAAGAAGACTTTTTGAAAACTTGAAAAAAAGGTCAGAAAATGATTACCTTCGACTTGATTTCATTGAAAACCGTGTTCCTTTTCCCGAACTCCTCCTCGATTTCTTTCTTTTCTTTTTGCGCGAGTTCGGATTGATTCTCAAAAACAGGCAACGCTTCGTCCATCTGAACAAAAACATTTAAAAAAAGAATAAAATAAATGTTTTGGACTTTCACAAGAACTTAAAAATCATGGGCGATAGGGAAGAAGTAGCTATCTAGGGAATGTTTTTTAACTTCCGATTGAACTTTTGATGAAACTTTGCTGAGGTGTGCTTTAGGACCTCCTGATTTTAGAACAACAGAAAAGTTCTATAGATCTTTATTCGAATTATGAAGCTTCAAGAGTCTAAAATAGCGATTTTTTTGTCATAATTTGTGTATTTTGCAGACTTTGAGACTTCATAACTCGAAAAAAAAGTCTGTTGCAAGACATTTTTTTTTCTTGTTCTCCGATCTCCTAAAAATCTCCTAAAGAGCATTAAAGCCAAGCTTCATCAAAAGTTTAACCTGGGTGTAAAAAACGCTCCTTAGTATAATCATTAAAAAAAAAAGACATAGAAAACTTGCAGTTTTGTCGGCCGGCGATATAAGAGAAAACCACTAAAATTTTAAATTTCCAGCTTTTTCTGTTGAAAACATCGTTTCTGCTCGAAAAATTACCTTTTGCTTAGCATTTTTCCTCCTTTTTCTTTTTAGTTCTTCGGACTCTGCTTTCAGAGCCTCGATTTTTTTCGCCGACTTCTCTGGGACTGCCATTTTTTCCTCTCTCTGGAACAATTCAATTTTTTTATCTCAAAAATAAGAAAAAAAATTTGAGCGCGCCCGACAAAAAAACTACTTGCGGGCAGTGACATCCTACAGCGCATAGTTTTAAAACAATTCTTGATATATGAGATCCATTTTAACCGCGAAAACGCAACGCTTAAAGTCATTCATTTTGTTTCAAATCGAAAATATTTTTCCGGTCAAACCTTCTTCTTTTCCTCGTCCAAACGCGTGTTCAGTTTGCTCAGATCCTGTTTCACACGTTTGATGTTGTTTTTTCGGCGTTTTTGGGAAGTTTCCGCGTCTTCGATCTGTTTTTTAGTCGAGTCAATCTCATCCAAGGCCGTTGTTCTTTCACTTAAATTTCTTTTTTGGTAATTGTCACATATCATTTTATGTCATGAAGTAGTCTTTCACAGCTGAAAAAAAGTCAAAAAAAAACTACAAATAAACCAAGATAAAAAGGCTCAAATTCTCATTTTTTTTTTTTCAACTGATCGCTCCATTTACCTGTCTGAGTTGAGAAAAAAAAAAAATGAACAAGCTTCTTTCCAAGTTTCAAAAAAAGAGAAGCCTAGTTTTTTTAATCAGTGATCTTCGGATTAACTAAAATTATGTTTTCTATGGAAAAAAACTGCTTGTGAATTAAAAATTTTTCTAATCCTACCCATTCCTTTCAAATCGAAAAACGAAGCTTTCATTTTTTTTCAAATTCCACGGTTTAGAAAAAAGAAAATGTTTCAAGCGCGATTTGAAGAATATCACTCTTTTTCAAAAAAATTTTTCTGATATTTTCCAAGGTCTCGATTTATTTACAGCTCAAAATATTCACAGATTCTCTTTTGGATCTTCCAAAATCTTTTCTCCAGTGCTTTCCCAATGACGTGTTTTACATTGGAAAGAGCAAATTTCCCCGAAAAGCCTTCAAAAATCCTACGTTGCCAACTGCTGATCCGCCTCATCGAATCCCTTCAATTCGGCGACAATTTCTTTCTTTCGCTTTCTGGCCGCTTCGAATTCGCTTTGCTTGGCGTCGAACTCCGCCTGGGTCGGTTGAACATGATCCAAATGAGTTATTCTGAGGAAAAGCATTATTTTTTTCAACTTTCCAACTTTTTTAAACTTTTCGATCTGCAATAATTTGCTGCGAATGCTGGTCGCCTCGTTTTCGCGTCTCAAAAATCGCAAAGTCTCCTTGACCACGGGTTCCAATTCTTCTTTGTCGGACCGAGCCATGTCCTTTCTGGACGAGAAGACATGTTATTTCTCATCAAAATCGGGAAAAATACCGGATTTTATGGATGGAGAGAGTCGCTTGGAGCTTCTCCAGGCGGCAATCAAACTTCTTGATGATTTGCTGGAAGAACAATTCTACTTGGCTGTCCTAGACTTGGGGATTCCAGAGTGGTTTCTATAGAGGTTAGCGGGGAAAACAGCCCCTATGGGGGCCGAAAAAGTGATCCCTATAGGGGTTTTCAACTTCATAAAAAAACGCTCATTTATTTAATTTTTCGCATGGAGTTCATAAGGATTATCGGATAGCATGTCTCCTGAAGGGACCACTTTTGCAAGCTTTAGTGGTCCCTATAGGGGTTCGTAAAGTGGTCCCAAAAAATAGGGTCCTGTCTTTCGGGACATCAAAAAAAAAGCTTGTGAAAACTAAAAGCTCATATTTTTCTTAACGAGCCTTCAACTAAGATTAAAGATTTTTTTCAAAAAAATGAAATGAAGAAAATTTCGTTTTTACTAGGCTGAAAAACAACGAAAATCAGAAATTAAAAAAACCTATACAGATAAGAAGTACAAGATAATTTTGAAATTCTTGATTTTTTCGACGGTAAATGTTCCAAACGATGTTTTCGGAAGACTAACCATAAAACGGCAAGTTCCGATGATGTCGTCCAAATATTCCAACATTCCTTCCTCGTTGGGATTCAGGCCGATCGGCTTCATCATTGAGATCGCCTCCACTTCTCCCTGGGAACAAATTGAATATTCTCCGTTCGAAACCGTTAAGAGATCCGCAGCCGCACTTAGAATGGCTCAACGTGTCACGGTTGCTTCGAAATGCGATATTTAGATCAATGCAAGAAAAGAAAGTCGCCGAAAGTCCGGCGCGGATTCAACGTGCCCGCAACCCTTTAAGCCATTCCAAGTGCGACCCCGTTTTCTACCTGCAAAATGAGGAATCGATTGTGAACGAGATCGATACCAGCATATCGGAGGGTCTCTTCGACTTCCTTGAAGCTTTTCGTCTGAAGAAACTTCCGAATCCATTTTTTGATTCAATTAAATACCTTTCCATTGATTGCATATTTGCTCGTATTATCACTATAGGCGGTTCTGGAAACGGCCAATCGAGAGTTTTGAATGATCTCAAAGTCTTCAGAGTTCTGAAAAAGAGATCTCTCTTTGGTTTGATTTTTAAGGGAGCATGAAGAGGCTTCAAAAAAGGTCTTGAGAGGAAGAGCGTCACTACAGGTCTTGTAAAACTCCTGCAGCCAAAAAATGATTTTTTTTTTCCTACGATTTACCGATTTTCAAGACGAATAAACTATTTGAAAGAATATTCCGACTATAAAAGGTGAAAACGTGATCTCTGAAAATTAAAAAACAAACTGTCGAAGAAGAAAACCGTTCAAAACAAAAAATTTCTCTCAACTACTCAAGAAAAAAAAGTGACGTCATGGAAACGGCAGATTTCGGCTCCTTAAAATAACAGGGCATATTAGAGGCGCAAGCTACCGTATTTCTAGAATTCTATGAGATAAATCGAATTTTCACTACATAAACGCAATTTTTCTGTGCAAAAGCGGCGCAGTGCATGCACACGACACAGGAAAATTTACGGATAAAATGGGCGGGACGTCGAATTTCTTTGGAAAAACCTTTAAAAAAAACCCGAACCTCATCATTCTCAATAATCCGTTCGAAAACAATCTCCACCGAGCAATGATCACATAAGTGGTTTGACGACTTGTGAATCAAGGAAGAAATTTTCTTAGATCGGATTTTCGACGACTGGAATTTAAAATCCTTTAAGATTTCATACAACTTCAAACCAACCCGGAAGCCGAAAACGAAAAGAAGGGCGTCGATGACGTTGGACTTTCCGGATCCGTTTGGCCCGATAACCGAAGTGAAACACTGAAAATTCGAGCCATTTCTCAAAATATTATTTGATAGACCTTATGAAAAGGCCCAATGCAGGTTCGACCGTAGTAACTTTTGAAGTTGAAGACATTCATTTTGACAATAACTAGTCGGCCTTTTCCTGGCCCGAAGGAGAGGTCTGGCCTCGGCGGAATCGGCTAAAAGACAAATTTATTCTATTCAATCTTTATCTTCTAAACCAATCCCAAAAGATCTTCGTTTTCATCAAAGTCTTCGTGATGAGCTGGTCCCGTATCGGCAGGTTGATTCTGAATTTATTCCTTTTTGAAATTTTTTTCCCTTCCAGCACCTCTTCAATTTCTTTTTTATCCTTTTTTGGTTTAATCCTGGAGGTCTTCTTTTTCGGTCTTTTCTCTTCTTCTGGTTCTGAATTATTGTAGTTGAAAAAAAGTACACGTAGAATTGAAAACCTGAAATGGATTCGTCACTCGCCGGCTCCGGTGAGTTGGCATGCCGTTTTTTAGGAGGCATCTTCAAATTTCACCATTAAGGTAAGAAAAAACTTAGGTCAAATAAAAACTGCAAAACAAAAAGTTGAAACTCGTTTTCCCGAAACTGTAAGGTGTTAGTTCCAACAATTTTGGGTGCCATTCTAGAATGATCCCTATCTTTTTAGAAAAAAAGGCTTTGACATTTTTTTAAAGGGAAAAAAATGATTTATGAAAAAAATCAATTTCTAAAAACAAATAAAAACGCACTTTCCAAAAAAATCGATTGTGCACTTCCGACCAAAAAAACAAATAACTATTTTCAGAAATAAAATCACAGGGAATTTAAAACCAGAAAAAAAGAAAAATCGAGCGCCAAAACTTTTTTTCTCGCGCATTTTTCAAAATGTTATCTTTGGCGCGTACTTTCACTTTACCTTTCACGGCGAAATGCACTCATTTTTTTGAAGGCCGCAAATTTTTCGTCCTCGTTTACCCGCCAAATGGAAAATTTCTAATTTTTGATACATTTATATTAAAAATATTACCCTATAAATCTAGCCGACAGAAGCCTAGGCTCAGGAGGTTTTTCTCGTTTTCATTTCCTTAGACTCACTTTCGGCGTTTTACCTTAATTTTCGCATTTCCGAAGCTTAGAAGTCATACACTTACAAAAAAATTTTTTTTAATTTTTTTAGAGAGCTTGTATTTTTATTGAAATAATTAATACAAGGAAAACTTATTTTTAACTATGAAACTCGCATTTCATCTCGTTGCATATTTTCTGCAGTATAAAATTTGTCTATAGAAATTTTAAAATCTAATTTTTTATCTAGCAAATCTTAAAATTCCTTAAAAAATATCTCAATTCGCAATTTCTCTTTCGAAAGAGAAAATTGCTGGCTTTTTTGGAGGTACGGTAGTCACCAAGTCTGCACGCAGTTATTTTAGCGAATGCATTTAATTTCACGACTTTTTCAGAAAACTTGTTTTTCGTTTGGTTTTTAACTTTTTTCTCTAAATTTCTGTAAGCTTTCAGGGTGGTCATCTTGGGAGAAAAAAAGATGTCATTTTTTGAGGACACGAATGAGGTCGCTGGCCCAGGTTGGATTGATTTTTTTCTTCCTTGGTCTGAAAGAGGACGGTTTCAGAAGAAGAACTGCGGGATCGGTTCGAAAAAATGAACAAAATCGGGGAAGGAACTTACGGCGTCGTCTATAAAGCCAAACACATCATCGACAACGTACAGTGCGCGTTGAAAATGATCAGTTTGGTCAAGTGCGTCAAAGATCTTTATTTCATGACTATTCTTTAAAATGTAGGGATGAAGAAGGAATTCCGAGCACCTGCCTTCGTGAGATTTCCTGTTTGAAAGATTTGAATCATCCCAATATCGTTCGGCTTTACGACGTGATCCATTGTAGTTAGTTTTTGTGATTTTAAAAGAAAAATGGGATTTTTTTTTTACGTTGCAGGTCAGCGGCTTTACATGGTTTTTGAATTTATCGATCGGGACTTGAAAATGCTCATTGATTTGCTGCCGAATCGACGTCTGCCGATGGAATATGTTCAGGTAAAGGAAATTATGAATAAAAATTTAAGTATAAGACTTCGAAGCGCTTCTAAACTGTTACAGGCTCAAAAAGACCAACAAAAAGCTTTCCAAATGCTTCTTTTCAATAACCGAATTTTTTTTTGCCATTCTTGCCGAAAATTCCAAGTTTATTCACCGCGTAGCAACATTCTCGGGAAGAAATTTCTTTTCCGATTACTCTTCAGGCGGCGGGGTCGTGAAGAACCAGGCGGGGTAGAAAAGTTTGTCGCAGCCGCTTTTTTTCAAGGGATTGTTTCCGTAGACGGGCGTCTTCTTGATGGCACACCTGCAAAATTAGTTTTCACCAATTTTCAGAATATTTTGTGTATCCAAGTGAAAATATCCTTGTGTCGTAAGAAAAAAATGTTCATGAATTTTTGGCCCTTTGAATATTAGAATAGAACTTATTACTGGTGAAACCTTTTTCAAGCAAGGAAATAATTTCACCTTGAAATTTTGAACTCCCTCTTAAGTTTACTGATATCATTTGTAAGTGATGATTTTTGAAAGCTACAAAAAAGTGAAGGAAAGGAGATTCAGAACCGACAGAGTCTCGATTTTCTCTTCCGAACTTTTTAGAAAACCCCAGATGAATTCTTGAAGCCAGTTATTTTTCAATGAGCACGAGCTTACGCATAGTTGCTGTCAAGGGCCTTCCAGACGTCGAGTTGGCAGTTGTGCACGCACAAGTTGTAGCACGACTTGTTCTTGACCGACTTGAACCTGGAAAAAGACATTTTGGAGCTTCCAAGAAATGGTCAGACTCCTCACGGCCTGTTCGACATGCAGTAGGTGGCGTCGGGACCCTCCGAATTGCAAAAAACGGGGCATCCGAGAGGATTCTGGGTCAGGACGGCCACGACGGCCAAAACGAGAGCCAAGGCGAGGCAACGGAGCATCCTTAAGTGTTTTTATTGAAATAGATTCGAAAAAATTGGTTTGATTGCTTGAGTGGAAAAGTGATTTCTAACCCCCGGTTGAATTTCCTATGAAACTTGCCCTCCTGATTCCAGAATAAAAAGAAAATTTCTCGACATTATCCTTATAAGCGAGTTATGACGGTTCCAAGTTTAAAAACCCCTAATTTTTGGAGTAAAAGCCTTTTTTTGAAGCTTTTGAAGCGTTATAAATCTATTAAAAAAAATTCAAAGTTTTAAAATTCTTTTTCTGGAACTAGAAGATTAAATTCAAGCAAAATTTCAGGAGAAATTCAACTAGAGGCTGAAAAAAACTGAATATCTAAACTTTTTCGCAAAAGAAATGTTTGGAAAAAAGAGTGGATTGAAAAAAGACAGTTCTACCGATTATTTATACTTTTTCACAACAATGCATCACCCCCGAAGTTTTTCCAAAAAGCTCTTCTTTTTTCAATCCGATAGTAATTTTTTTTTGACGCCCCGCTGGGAGACACAAAGGTTTCGAAGCATGAGTGGGATACATTTTTTTCTATTCAAAGCTGGTTTTTGTACATTTATAGTTGATTGAACCTTTAAAATCACGTTTTTTGGTCCATTCAATCCAGTTGAATGTCTGATCAAAAATCGCGATAGATTTTTGGTTCTTTGTGGAAGGTTCAGTGCGATATTTGAATAAAAACTACTTTTTATCAAGAAAATAGTTCACTTAATGGCTCTTAGTGAAAAAATGTTAAAATTAATCTTCGAGGTCTTTTTTGGAATGGGAAGGAATGACGATTTTTTCTGGCTGTGGGTAAGCTTGAAACATCGAAAAATGATGAAAAGCAATGAAGTATTGAAAAAAAAACCTGCTCAAAAGTAAACTAAAATATAAAATTGTGGTTTTACTTTAAATTAAACTCGGAAAAAATCCTTTGATGGGCTGATAATGAATAGGAAAAGTTTGACGTCGAAACTTTTCTTTTCTGAACCAAAGATAAACTCAGAAAGGCGTTTTTTTAATGGACAATATTTAATAAAACAACCTCGGGCGATTCTCATCGGAAAATCCTGATTTCTTAAAGAAAATGGACGGAAAGAATTATTGTTGAATTCATTAAATGTCACGGGAACCTTTAATTTTTTTTTTTCGAGGTAGAGAGAGAGAAATGAGAAAAACGATGTGAACTGAATCATTTTTCTTGAAGACATTTACTTGTTCAGTCATTCATGTGGCAACTTCTGACGGCCCTCGCCTACTGCCATCTCCGAAGGATCGTCCATCGCGACCTGAAGCCTCAGAATCTGCTCGTCAGCGACGACGGAATCATCAAAATCGCCGATTTCGGCTTGGCAAGGTATCAAAGTCGACATATCTATAATCATTGTTCATTTTATATAAACTCTCTTCAATTTTTCTTAAACATTTCCGACTTTTTTTCCTGTTTCTATCATTCAACATTTATCAATTTATTGTGGGGAAGAATAACTTATCACTGTGAAAAAAATTCTCGAAATTACGATTCTTATAGGTAATTTTAACTTGATTTTCCGAATCGTGCTCAAGTTTATCGCTATCTTGCCTCTGTTCATTTTTAATTCGTAATTTATAGTTTTTTTGAATAATTTATTTTTGGTTATATTATTTATTTTTCTGAGATGATAAATTTCGAAATTAATCATTTCCTACAGAAGCTTCTCGTTTCCAAGCCGCGCATATACTCACGAAGTTGTGACTCTTTGGTATCGAGCTCCTGAGGTTACAAATAATCTAAATTCAATTTGGAAAATAAAAATGAGCTTCAGGTCCTTCTCGGCTGCAGCCGCTACTCCACATCGCTGGACATTTGGAGTTTAGGGTGCATTTTTTCGGAAATGGCCTCCGGACGGCCGCTTTTCGGCGGCGACTCGGAAATAGCCCAGCTTTTCAAGATTTTCCAAATCGTCGGCACTCCCAATATTCAGGTGGATAAGTAGGAAAATGTATAAATTGTTAAGAAATTTCGGAAAACCATCATAAACTGATAGGAGATTCAAAGAAGGTTTTAATAAAAGTTGTAAAAAACTTTAGGGGCCACTATAGAGTTTTGACGTTTTAGTGGCCACTATAGTAGTCCAATTAGTGGCCACTTAAGGGGTTAAAAATTAGTGGCCCCTATAGAAATCGGAGTGCTACTACTAGACCATTTAAAGCTTTGGTGGCCACTTTAGGGGTCAATGGATCTACATAAATGGCCCAATATGTTTGTTTTGAAATTATCAGAGTTACTGGAAGGAATACTGGATGAAAAGCTACTGAAGTGGCCACTAAAACGGAAAATAGTGGCCACTATAGAGGTTGGTTTAGTGGCCACTTTAGTGTCCTCTCCAAGTAGTCCTTGGCGAGCCTCTATAGTGGCCAGTAAAAGTTTTCCCAGAACATCAGAAATCGTAGAGATTTTCGGAAAAAATAAAATTGATGAAGGCTTGAATCAAAAATTATTCAAATCTTAATCAAAAAGAAGATTTTTTCAAGCCAATACCATGAAGTTGCAGCTCTCTGAAAAAAAAATTTACCGAACTTCAAGATTTTTGAAACTTATGATAGTTTTGCAAGACATGGCCGGGCGTCGAGAAGTTCTCCCACTTCAAATGCGCCTTCCCGCAGTGGCCGTTCAGCGAGACGAAGCTGAAGGAACGGTCGACGATGACCGAGGATCCCCTGGACTTGTTGCAGGTTCGAACGCTTTGATGATCATCTACCTGGACGTTTCAGAGTATGGTCCGGTATCCGCCGGAGAAGCGTCTTACCGCCAAAGGAGCCCTCTGTCATCGGTTCTTCCTGAAGACGGGCGGCGCCAGCGCGCCTCTGAGAGTCGCAGAGTTGCTGACCAGGTTCAGCGAGCAGGAGGAGGTCCTGAATACTTATTTCGTTGAGGGGAATGTGATAATAGATATTTTTTCCGTTGATGTGGAACTCTTGTGAAGATTTTTCTTGAAAATGTCACGAAAAAGTTTAAAAAATAGAATATTTCTGAAACTGTAGATGAACAAGCTCAGCAGTAGGTTCTGAATAATGATTTCGTAAGAAAAACATTACTTTTTCATAAATATTTTTCGTTAATATTCAAGGATGTGAAAATGATCATAAAAAAAGCACAATTTTCTGAAACTGTAGATGACCAAGTTCAGGAGGAATTATTGAAAATTCAACTTTTTCAAAATGTGTTTTGTTTTTTTTTTTTGCGTTAATGCTGGACTCTTGACGTGAGTTTTTATTCGTTCTCTGCCTCTCTTAACTATCTCTTCTGGTCCTGTATTCAATCATTTTCTTTCCCAGGAGTCCACCAGAAGAGGTGAACAACTCAGTGACTGTGACGACGAAAACGAGCCGGACACTCGTGACGATGAAAATGACGATGTTTTCTAGAGACCACTTTAGTGCATTTTGTAACATTGTATTCAATATATATTGCATTCCATTCAGACTTGTATCGATATCTTGCGGTTGTTTCAAAAAAACGAGTTTTTTTTGTTTATTAATACTCCATTCATCGCTGGCTTGGAGAAAAATCATTGATTTTAAAAATTGGACACGAGCCAGCGATGAAAACCCTTCAGAACCATTTTATTTTATTTTTTTGAAGTTTTTATTGTGCGATAATTTTACATTCCATCTATAGCTTGCAATTCGTCTTTCAATAAGTTTTAGTTTGAAAATCTCTAAATCTTCTTTATTCTCATTTTTCCTTCCAAGCTGTACCAGTATTCCCATCATATTGCTTGCCTTGTACCATTCCTTATTTTTCCTCCATTTTATCAAAATTTGAAGTCTTCCTCTCGAATTTCTTGTAAAAAGTTTGCACGTTTTAGAACCATCTTTTCTAATTATTATTTTATTACTTTTTTTCTCCTTCATCTGTTCTTTTTCAGAAACTATATAAAACAGTCGTGTTTTCAAAAATGGGAACGGATATGTACATGAGAGCTTGAAAAATAAGCAATAAATAAAAATTGAGGGAACGATCGTGATGTAAAAATGAAAAAAAAAAGGAAAAAAAGGTACAATCAGATACAGGATCACCCGTGGAACCGGTGTGTCACGGATGCGAAAATTCGACAAGAACATGTCTTTTTTTGGTTTGAATGTGTAATGTTGTGGGGAAAAAATTGCACAATGAAAAAAACGATAACAAGGACAACATGGAACAAGCAAAGGGAAGTCATTTTTTAGATTTTGACGAAAAGCAAGGCTGCTTCTAGAGATAAAACGGTAAGTAAATTCACAATCAAAATCTCAGATAATACAGAAAAAAAGGTAAAACCGACTCGCCGACGCGATAACCATTACAGTTTGGGGGGGGACAAGCTCGTATTCGGTACCCGTAAGCCGAAAAAACTGGAAGAAGGAGGGGAGCTTCAACAAATTGGGGATGATAAATAAATAAATATATCTGGTTGGGAATGGAGGACGGTAGGACGATCTTTTCTCAATAGGGCACATTTTGTAATTCTCACGAGGCTATTATTGAAAAAATCGGAGATCGAGGAAAATTTTACGTACAATGATTCATTTTGTGGAGTAGTAGGAGGTCAAAGTTCTCCGAGTGATCCCTTCAGTGGCCGTCTTTCGGAAATGAGAGTTTGAGACTGAAAGTCTTTTGAGACACCAACAAAGTGACCAGTTTTCAGTCTCATAAAATACTTTTTCAACTTCTCGTTTTATGAGAAGTTGAAGAGATTCAGACCAAAATCGCTTAAGGGATCACTGCAGATTTCCAGAGGTTGAAGAATCCCTTTCAGGATCAAACATTCATATCATGAAGAACATTTTTAGTACAAATACTAGGGACATTTGCAACTTTTCCGTTGAATGAAACAGTTGAAAAGGTCCTTCTAGGGTCAAGGAACCGGGCTGAAACAATCAACAAACTCTGAGAAACCACTTTAGTGGCCAAGTTGAGTTCTGAGCTGCCAGAAGCTCAGAAGTCTTATCCTACGACTACGACAACTCTAAAAAGACCTGTCCAACGAATCCTAACTCCGGGGAGGTCTACTTTGGGGGGATAACAAGGGCTTCTAGACCGGCTAGAAGTTGATTAGATGCAAGGCTTGATGGGTATGTAATCATTTTCGTCGTCGGCGGCGGCAGAAGACGACGTGGTCGTCGTGGGTAGCGTCATGTAGTGTCGTCCAGAAGAGGAAGACGTGGCGAAGCAGCCGTCAGAAGACGTCGCGTAGGGTGGGGGTGGGAAGTAGGTGAGAGTTGGCGACGGGAGTCTTGGCAGACGTCGGGGGGAGCTTTCCGTCGAGCTGCAGCTCTCCTGGTCCAGTTCGGAGGTCTGAAAGGAAAATAGTTGATATTTTTTCTGATAATATGATTGGATCGGGGTTTTTTGATTTTTTTTTTTTGAATTTGAAATGTGATAGAGCTCTTTGGGAACATTTTGAGCAGGGTAAGACCTCAGAAAAAAAAACCCCCCAACCTTTAAAAAAAGCCTAAATTGCCTCAACTTCGACCAATTCTAGTTAACAAAACTGGGTTTTTTTTTTTATCAGTAAAATTTTGTTCGGCTCATTCTGTTGATCAACTAGCTCCCCTTCGAAAGATTTTTACAACTCGTCATTTTACGAACCGAAAAATTCCCAAACCGTTTTCGACTGAAACAACGTTGGGAACAGACACTTTTTTTTCCTTTTCTCACTCTCTTTTGCCTCGCTGAACGCCTGGGAATGTTGACAGTTTCGGGGAATGATGTTTCTATGTGAAAAGGATCACTTTCTCCGTGAATCTTTCGAGAAAACTAAAAATTTTGAAAACGAATACTATTTCAGTAGATGAGAAATGAGAAAAGTGGGTGAGAAATTTTTTTTTTTCTGCAATTTTGTGACCAAAACTAAGCGATTTTCTTTTGAATCTTATATGATACTTTTGAAAACAAAAATGACCCAGAAAATGGCAATTTTTTGGTTTTTTTTTGTACCAGTGCTATCATTTCTGTGATTTCAACTCGAAAAGATTTCAATCACATTAAAAACCACAACAATTCCCTCAGTTCTCCTTTCTAGTCGAATCTAAATATTTCTATCCCCCGTTTGACGGCTCGAAATTCAAACTTTGTCCGGAAACTCTCCGGAAATGCTTGTAAAAGACTGCAACAACAGCCTCTCACATAGCCACATAACATTTGGCGCCACCCTGACCGAGCATCATGTCATTTTCTTCTTCGGAGGTTTTCTTGGCGGCGGCGGCAAGATTGGCATCAAAAGGCGACGCGACACGGAATAAAGACAGATTTCGCGCTGCGGGGCGCCCTGTTTCCGCCTTTTCGACAGGAGGAGGGAAGACCACAAAATTAATTATTCCGCCTGATTTGAGCAATTTTTGTTTTCGTTTTGAAAATAAATATTGAGTCAATAAGTGTTCGGGGAGCTGTTTGAGTTTTAAAAAAATTGACTTGGATTAAAAAGCCTAGGTATTTCGAAACAATGTCCAAAAATAGATTTTCAGGCCAAAATAACTGTTTTTTTTTTACTTTGAAAATTTTGATTTTATCAAGTTTTACTGTCAGAAAAGCTACTCTCTTTCTCCTCATTCTTCCCAAAAATCACCTTATGATGCTGTTCGACAGTCCTGACGGCGGTCCAGACAGTCGGCCTCGTCGAATCGCCCACAGTCGCTTCCGAATGTCCGGTCCTGGAGTTTTTGAGGATAGTGCGCCGCAGCCTGCGGTAGAAGCACATCATAATGCAGAGGAAACCGAATACAGACATCACTGAAGCAGCTGAAAAAGGTTCTTCAACTTTTTGAAGGGCATAGCTTGGATTTGATAATCCAAATGATCGTAGGCTCGAGTCTTATCGAAGTTTTTTTCTAAGTTTATATAAGAACTTGAATATAGTTTTTATGGTACCAAACATTAGACAGAGGGGCTCTAAAAGGTGAATGGTTCGAGTCCCAGAGACGCTTTTTGATCAAGTTTGGAGCTACCGAAATGGCAAAAGCTCAAAAACTTGCTAGAGATCGTGGAGCTTGCAGAGTGGCCAGAGAAACAAAAAATCCAAGTCTCTACAATTCCAATGATCTCTGGCTTCTTTTTTGAAACTCGAATATTTAAACATTGCTTGGAGATTTTTGAGATTTTTTTTCAAACTTCATATTTTCAAAGCTCACCAATGAAGAGGTAAAGATGATCATGTAGAGTCGTTTTCTCAACGATGTGCTGTTCTCGGAGAATGATGAGATCCGGGGCCGAGGAGACGATCATCGTCAGGTTCCTCATGCACTCAAAGTTGGGAATGTCGCAGTTGGGACCTCGGAAGCACTTGGGACACAGGCACGAGGGCTCGTTCTTCTTGTTCAGGTGGCAGAGGCCGCCGTTTCTGAAATAACTTTGATTGATTTTCAATTTTAACTTCTCTGACTCTTTTATTTTTCACAAATTTCGCTCCGAGAAAGGAAAACTACCGTGATAACATTACACAATAAGTTCACAGATAACGCTTTTTTTTCGCCGTATTTTGTCGATGATAAGGCTATTTTTTCCAACCAATTTCGCTCCAATGATAATCTACAGTACCTGCACTCGAGCGCGGCACACGGCGAATCGCTGTCCGAAAGTTCGCAGTGTTTTCCGAAGAACCCAGGCGGGCAGTGGCATTGAACTTCTGGAGGGGACAAGGAGATGCAGACTCCACCTGAAAATTGAGGCTTTAGTAGAGTTTTGGTTTGAAAATGAGACTTTTTCTTCAATTTAGTGTCCCATGTACATCATCACCATACAAGCTTTGTACAGGGCTGTAAAAAGTCGAATATTTGACTGTAAAGGCTGACCGTAAATCAATGAAAAATCGGAAATTGCCAAAATCCTGTGTTTCCTTTCTTATCAAGTGAGCAAAAAAGAATATTTTTTTAAGAATTTTGGAAATTCGAATTTTTGAGTCTTACAGTTTCTTTAACAATACACAAAGTTCTTTACATACTTAGAAAAATATCGAGATTCTCAACCAAAAAACGAGAATTTCTAAACCTCATGATCTTTTTCACATTACCATCATACAAACTTTGTGTGCGTTCGACAGAACTTCTCAATTTTCCTGAAGGCCTCCCCAATTTCCTCTAAGATTGAGAAGATTTGTTGGTGGTAGTGGGTGCAGCATATTTGTATATATTCGAGAGCTGATTACCATCACAATGGCGTTTTTGAGGAGAGGCTCCGTGGCCACTTGAGAGAGAGGCAGTGAGACAATGAGAGGTGTGAGAAGATGAGAGGGGTTCGTAAAACTTGGGAGAGAGGTTCTAAGAGTTTCAGGTCATTTTTTGGACCGAAAAGGGAAAATTTTTCCTGTTATCCTGCTCGAAATTGCTCAAAGGTCACCAAACTTTGAGAAAATTCAGGATTTTCAGTGTTTCTATCAGTTTAAGATAACAAACTCAACTTCTTTGTAGTTTTAATCTACTCAAAATCATTCAGAAACTATTTTTAGGCCTAATATCTGGACAAATCCATTTTTTTGAATATCAAAAACCTTTTCATCGGACTGTCATTCCCCGCAAAAAAAAAAACCAGGAGTTCCTTAAAAATCTCCTTGAACTACACTTTGAAAACCATACTCAAAGTCTACCCTATTCAAATTCTGACGTCATTTTTCCCTCGAGATGACGTCATCCAACACTTGCAAAACCTACCGTTCCAGCAAATATCGGCGTCATTTCTGCAGAGGACCTTCTCGATGGGGATCTCGCAACGGGCGCCGACGAATCCCTCAGGGCACTGGCACTTGTATCCGGCCGCCGAGGCGTCGTTGAAGCACGTGCCGCCGTTGGAGCACGGTTGCTTCCGGGTACAGTACTCCAGGTCTGCAAAATGGACCTTGTCTACAGTGAAAGTGATCCGTGAAGTTGCAGCTTGAAAAATGACGCCATTGCTTGAAAATTAAATTATTTTTCTGGAAGCCTGGTTATGACGTCCCCGAAAAAATCTCAAGTGCACAAATTTCTTCTTTCTTTCTAATGACCTCATTTTTTCGAGGATGCTTGATATTTTCACTGCTAAACTTTCTACGACTTTAATTTTCTCAAAACCCTCTTATTTTCCCACACAAACTCACCGAGATTACAGAGTTCGCCACCGTAACCCGGCTTGCAGGCGCACGTCAGCGAGACGTTGTTGGCGCAGCCGCCATGGAGACATCCGCGTTTGGGTTGGCACTGAAAAATCGGAACTGTTGTACTCCAACTACAGTAATCCCCTTGAACTCACCGTTTCACAACTGTTGCCAGTGTAGCCATTTTGGCAGTGGCAACGGCCTGGGGCGACGCATTTCCCGTGTCCGTTACACTTGTTCTCGCAAACGGCTGAAAATATGGATTTTCTTGCGAATTCTGTGATTTTTTTTTTACGAAAATCGGACAGAAATTGTTCAACTTTTATGTGAGGTCAAGCTTTGGAGGTCTTGAATTCAGGGTAAATCTCCATTTTTTCAACTTTAATCAACAGTTCAAACTCCACAGGGACAGGTGTGACTCGTCTATATATCGCCCAAAAAAGAAAGAAGAAGGAGAAAAAGAACACCTGGCAATGCAAAGGAACCTCCTCATTTCCTCAACGACTCTAACAACATCCCTAGGAAGAAAAAACACAGAACAAGGTCACTACGGAAAATTTTCATTTCGATTCGATTCAATTCGTGTGTCGCTTTTTTTTCGGATAAATGTGTTTGCCCTTTTTTTCGTGTTTATCTATCGTAGAACGCCCATTTTGAGACGGACTCAATTAAAAGTGACAAAAATTGGATCGCCGTAAGATATCCATCGGGGTGATTCAAAAACGGAAAGAAAATTGGTTTTTCGAATGAAAAAAGTGGGTTAAGCACCATAGTTAAACAGTTATGATTTCACCTGGAACAACGTTTTAAAAAGGCATAAAAATGGTACTTCACTATTTTTTTTTTCGTTGAGCTTTTAGCTTTGGTCCGTGCCTAATTGGAAAAAACTGTTGAATATCTTAAAAGATTATTAAAATCAAAGATTTTGTGGAATTTAAACTTGAGCTTTCAATTTTCTCGAAATCATTAATGAAAGAAAAAAGTGCTATAACTGAAAGTTTCATTAAAGAACTTTAAATCTGCGGAGGCGCTAGAGAATTAGAGAGATCTGCGTCTCTTCAGCTCCAACGGTCTCTCACTTGCGAATCACTTTTTCAAATCTTAGCGCTCTTAACGGACCACATTCTCACTTAGACGACTCTACATTCTCTCTAAAAATCTCTCCTTTGAAACTTTGCCGCCTAAAACCAAAGAATCTGAAAAATCCGCCGCTCCGAAACGAACAGCAACCAATTAGCCCAGGAGACTGAAGAAGACCTGTGTTGGGAAGAAAAACGAGCAAACTGCCGAGGCGGAAAGGAAAGGGAGAAAAATTAAGGGAGGCGCCGTTGTGATGATGATGGTAGTGGTTGGTAGTTGGAACAATGTCGTGTCAATCACGTCGGAAGAAGAACAACGGCGCGGCGAAAAAAAGCCGGGCCGACAGGAGCCGAGTCAGATTTGGTGTTGAGATAAGCTACTGTTTAGTGATGGATTATCGAGATTGGGTCAATATTTTGAGTATGGAAAGCTCTGAAAAGTTCTTAGATCTTGGAAATCGTAACCTACAGATTTTTAATGAACTAGTAGCATTACAACTTGAAGCAAAGAAAAAAGAACCCGATTTTTTTTCTATCCGTCTACTCGATCCATTCCAAACGCGACCAAACTCACGAGTCATGCAGTCCTTGCCGGTCCAGCCGACGACGCAGCGGCTTTCGCCGTTCTCCGTGCATTCCGTGTGTTGATCGGGCCGCTCCTCGCAGTACCGATTGCACAGTTGGCCGTAGTACTTGCTGGAAAAATCGATGAAATGATTCAGAGTTTCCCAAGTGTTTCCTCACTCATCGCAGACGCTCCTGTAGCGGTAGAGGATTTCGAAGGTTCCAGTGCTGAGGGACTCTTTCTTCCAGGCTGTCGAAGTGTTCCGCTGCTCCCACGAGTCGGCAAGCATTTCTGGAAAAAATTGTTTCTGAAATCATTATTCAGAGGCTTGTTTTCCATCACTGCACTTCTCATTTGAAAAAAAAGTTGAAAAAAATAATTTATTGGTCTAAGGCTTTAAAAGCCATTCTTAGTTAGATTTTCAGGTTGAAGAGATGGAAAAGAATAGGATTGGGCCCAAAAATTGAGTCTTTGACTTCAAAATAGAAATTCTAAATGGATGAAACTTATATATAAACTTTTCTGTGGCTCCAAATCGATTCTTTCGAGCTTTCACAAATCCCGAACCTATATTAAAAATTATCTAGAGTTTCTAAACCTATAATCCCCATTTTGAAACTTTAATTCAACATAACTTCTCCAAAAACCCTCAAAAAACCACCAAAACCTGGCACGTTCCTTATATTTACCCAACAATGCAAGTGCCACGCTCCTGTGCCCTACTGATAATCACTCGATTTATTATCGTCTACTGTTTGACAAGTCCCTTGTCATGACCTTTTTTGTCACTGATTTACGATACGCGCGAACTTGGCAGCTTAGGAGCCCAGGGCAGGGGATTTTGACCAATAAATTCGTACGGAACAGGAAGGAAGTTGTAAAAGTGTGATAAACATGCAATGTGGCGTAAATCATGGGAAAATGGTGGTTTTTGGATGAGTTTCGAATTTGGAGATTTTGCATGATTTTCGGAAAAAAAGGACAAAAATAGCAATCAATCTGAATTTCTGAACCAAGTGAATTTGGTCTTGCATTTCTGAAAGTTCTAAAAAAAAAGCCCATAAAAATCATGAAAAACCCACCCTTGCCTTTTTTTTTGTCAAATATTATGAAAAACAGGCTAGAATCGGTTCAAACAGGCTAGAATCGGTTCAAAGAAAATTCACCAAACGGCTTCTCCCAAAAGAAACCTATGCTGTAAGACTAAAATCCCTTTCTCTAGACACTCTATGGACAAGGCGTCTGCGAAAAGATATCATAATTACACATCAGTTCATATATGGCTATTATTGGTGTCCATCTCCATTCAAATTACAAACGATATCAAATAGACGAAACCAACTGAGAGGCAACGGCCTTAAACTCGAACCACCACCAATCCATCATGTTCACTATAACTTTATTACGCAACGCGTGTATAAATACTGGAACGGCTTAAACAGAGTTATGGTTTTTTGAGGATGACCAAAGAAGATTTAAAAGTTGTTTGAAAAAAATTGGTTTTTGATAAGGAAGCTGCAAATTTCACAAAAATGATTCAACTCGTTTATAGATTACTTTTTCTTTTTTTGATTCTCTTCGATTTCGACCTAAAAATATTTTTTTAGATTAAAGTGGAACTTTATCGAAGTGGAGGCAAATATAACTTTCATGGTTCTCTTCCTCCACGCCACAGATCTGTCTGTGAGCGAAATAAAAAAAGGAAAAAAAGAAAAAGACGAGTAACAAACACTCCCCCACATAGTTCTTGAAAATGAACATTTTTTTTTCAAGACAAAAGATCCATTCTGAGAATGCAAAGATACTTAGTTTTGAACTTCGAAAAACAAGGATTGAGCTTAATTAAAACGAGAAAGAAAACACCCTCGCATGCTTTTCGAATCGAGACCCTATCAAAAAAAGCGAAATCACCTCCCAACAGTTAATGGCAGTGAATAAACTATTATTATTAACGGTATCAAGACCAAAAAAAGTTCAATTATTTTTCAAGATTTACGAACCCTTGTGAAAACTAAAAATTAACTTTTTCAAAGTTTTCTATCAAAATGTTCTTGCCAAAGCAGCGAAAAGCGCCTTCAAACGGTTGGTTTGTCGAAAAAGAATATCCAATTTGGGCAATCCTTGCCTCAATAATTGTTTGTTGTGTGGATTTACGGCCGCGCGCATGCCAACAGTCGACTCGCCGAGTCAAGGAAAAACGGTGGACAGGTGGGGATGGCCTACCTGTCCACAACAGTTGTAAAAAATGAGGTTGTCTCGTCGTGTCGTATACCTTTTCTTCCCGACTTTTTAGGGCTAGTGAGGTAAAATAGGTGGTTTTTCGAGTCGGTTTTGGATCATTTCTATTGAAAACCGTTGATATCAATACACTTATGGGAATTATTAAAAAAACTCAAATCTTTTGAAATTAACTAAAAGTCAGACTTGAAAAGTCCCCAGTTCGTATATTTTTCTTTCCAAGCTGACGAGGTCAAATCGAAAGTTTTCTAAGCGAAATTCAGATCAAAAATATTGAGAAACCGTTTTGAGAACACGTTACTGTCAGAAAGGTCATTATACAACAAAAAATGACTGAAATTAAAGCGAGACCCAGAAAAAAAAACCCCAAAATCCATCTATTTCCTGACATTTTAGGACAGGTAGTTTGAAATTTGACCATCAACTAAAATTTAGTGATGTTCCAGCACGTTAACTCAAAAAAAAAAGAAAAGAAAATTAAAAATGATTCCGGAATGAGTGAAAATGACTCAACTCTAAAAATCGTAATAAAAAAACTTTTTCTCACTCCTGCTAATTTTTAAACTTCAGACAGAAAAACAGAAAAAAATCCTTCAATACAAAACTCTGATCCTTTTAAATCTCTTCTCAAACTTTGACCAAATCCCGAAAAGCCCATAGATCTGAAGATTTTTGGAAGTACAAAACCCTCACATTTTAAAAATAGGCACGTTTTTGTATTAAACCCTTCCAAGAAACTGCCAAAATACAAAAAAAAGCGTTTCTGATCTTTCCGAAAATAACATTAGAGGTACAAAAAATAATGTAGTTTCTGAGAGCTTTTTTCCGGACCTGATTATCTAAAAAACACTCCAAAAAACGATCAAGGGTCAAATCTTATCTCGAACGATGCCTGAGGCAAAATCCAACATTATTAAGATCTATATCTCAATTTGCAAACCTCCTTGGAGGTTGTAGGCGACGAGGTTCAGGTCGAAGTGGCTCTGAAACACCGATTTCGATACAATTTAGGGCGTATTTCAATACAAACCGGAGCATCTCCGGCAAATCTGCCATCCTGGAGGTTGAACGGGACGCCGGCCTTCACTTTGATTCGCCTCGCCGTGTTGTCCATTTTGTTGCAACGCATATTGGCGCAAATCGTGTGCGAAATCAAAATCGTCTCCGGGGAATTGATCACGACTTGAAAGTGGCCAGAAGCCTCGGACTGCAAAATAATCAATGTTCGAATGCATCAACCGAATTTGAAGACAAACCATGACAAAGAAACTGGCAAACAGGGCCAGGAAACTCAAAAAGCGTGCCATTTTTGTGTGAATTAGTCGAATTTTTCAAAACGTTAGTACGCGTTGTTGTGGTTTTGCATCAAACGGTGGTCGCTCACACACTGAAAATTGATGAAAATATATGAATATATACAAAAAGACGAACTAAAAAGAAAATAAAAACAAAGGACAAATGAAAAGGATGAAAGAAATTGGATGAAGGTCAAAAAATGGTGGCAAGTGATCAAAGTTGCTCTATTGAAAAGCTTTGATAATTTTGAAAAATCCAACTTTTTCTTTTCGAAATTTTTAAGTTCATAAAGTAATTTGAAGTAATTTGAAGTAATAAACAAGCTCACAAGGTCGATTTTAAACTCAATCGGCGATTATGCAAAACTTTACTGAGAAATGAATAATTTATTTGGAAAGTTTTAATATGTTTTGTTCCTATGCGCCTTCAAGAGCTTCAAACACTTTTTCAATTCTATAAATGATATAAGATAACTTTAATCCTCAATCAATTAGGAAAATCAGAACAAAATGTGACAAAACGATAAAAAAAGATAAGAGTGTTTCCCAAAGCCAAAAAAAAAACTTGACAAAAATGGCAGGATTTCAACCGATAAAACGTGTGAAAGCCGAGAAAAGAGGAACTGGAAGAGTTTCAACACGAAAAAAGCATCAAACCATCGAAGAAATCAAGAAGACGCGCAGCTGAAAGCCAGCTGGATGGAGGATTTACACGAGTCTCAGCAAAATTGTGAAAAAAGGCCTCGGCTGAGGCTGAGGCCTCTGATATCTACATGGCGAAGGCGTCGAGGGCGGCGCCTTCCGGTGCAGAGGAGAGCCCCTGGCTCCGCCCACAATTCGTCTCGCAGGGGAGCGAAATTGCGCGCAATTACGGTAGGCTCTGTGGCGAAGTTTTGATTGGAACGGCTTGAAATTGGAATGGATATTATGGATATGCGTGGAACAATCGAATGGGACTCTGAGGCCAAGAAGACTTTTTATGGGCAGTTTCTTAATTAATTTTCTATCGGTCAAATTAAAGAAAAAAAGTGGAAACTACAACAATTCTAGCTATGAAAAAAACCAAAAAGCCTAAAATGATGTTTTTCGTTACAGCCTTCACTTTTTTTGTAAAAAAAATGCTCACTTGAATAATTTTTCAGAAGCAAATTTGTTGAAAAAAATATGAAAAATCCATTAAAACCCGAAATTTTTTTCGAAAATCTGAGAAATTTAACAAAAAAACTTCACGATTGGAAAGAGCATTGAAAAATTTCAAAATAACCAGTTTTGAATCGATTGAAAACTTACAAATTTAATTTCTATATTCCTGAAAAAAATTAAGAGACACGTAAAAAAATACTTAAGCAAAGAAAAAAAGAAAAGAAAAAAAGGAAAGCCCATTATTTACTGACAAAAGATCAAAAACACTTGAGGGGTCAAATTGGTGGAAGTCGCTCCATTGACAACAATAATTTTTTCCATTTCGAAAATTATATTTTTCATTTTTTGGCTGATTTTCCTAATAACTATAGCTTGAGCTTTACTTGTGATAATTTTACTAATCAAAAATCCTTCTTGAAAGGTGAAACCTATCAAAAAGGTGTAAGTGTAATTGGCCTCGTGTAATTGATCCGTCTCACCTCAGCTTGAGACCTTCTAAACAAGGTGTGAGGACATGTCACTGGCCCCCCTCCTTTGGCGGCAACCTTTTTTGAAGTTTTTCGCGGCAGAGTTTCCAGGTGAGGCGGAAGCGAAAAAGGCATCACTCAAGGGGCACTCGAGTTGTTCTTTTGGACAAAAGTGTGCCAAAGAGGAGAAATATTGGTGGAGGAAACACTCAATAACTTTGTTGGCCGGAAATATATTACTGTAACGCTAGGATTACTATAAACAAAGGCTTATTTTTTGAAATGGTTTGGAAAAGAAAGAGAAATGTAACTTGATTGAAATCATTTTTAATAATTAAAATTTTCAAACTGATTTTTTGGACTAGAATGTGTAAAAAGCTTTCATTTGGAATCTCGTGTGTCTTGTAAATTTTTTTAAAAAAACCGAAAGATAATAACTGTATCCATTTTTGGACTGGAAATCTCTGTAAAAATGGATAAATGTGGGTAAATGTTTTTCAAGTTTAAAAGATTAATATTAATTTGGCCTACAAACTCAAGAAAAAGAAGACTTTCTAGAAGTCAAAGATTTCAGAACCCCGAAAATCGTTATAAATATAAATCTAGCTCGTCAAAACGGATTAGAGGGTGTCGGGAGTATTTGATAACATTATTGTGATTGTTCTGTGAATCGGATTAGAGGGTGGGTCGTGAAAAATTCGAGACAAAGAAATGATTTATAAAGTTCATAGGGGCTGAAGAAAGGCAAAGAATGGAGAAAATCGAAGAGATAGGCGGAATTTTTGCAAGATAAAAGTTCAAATTGAGTGGAAATTGAGGAAGATTAAAAGTGGATAAATAAGATAAAAGTTAGCTCGATTTTGAAGGAAGAGTAATACGAAAAGTTGAAGCATTGAACAGTTTTAAAAGAAAAATAGTACAGTTATTTTTCAAAGAAAAGAATACGGAATAGGAGACAAGGAAAATAAATAGCATTGGTTGGGAAAAAAGGAAAAATAATGGTCCAAGCGAAGAATAAGCCCAACTAACTAGGTCCCAACTTGAAAAAGTTGTCCAAGCTGAAGTTCAACTTCACTTCAAGTCACCAATCAAAACAAAATGACTTAGGGCCCAAATTTGTCCCAACTTCGACCATTCCATCAACGCCTACCTTCCGGCCACGCCTCCACGGGGTGTGATTGTGGTGACAGGCCCAGACGAATTGGCCCGAGTTAATCCGACCTAATCCTCCTTTGGAAGTCTTGTCGGACGGGGTCGGTGACACCAGCTTGGGACCTGAGTCTCGCCGGATTAGGTTTTTCGGCGAGTTTCTTTGGTTTTTTCCGAGGCTGGAGCTGGAGTAGGCTAGGAGTTGGGCCATTTCTAGAAGTTTCTGATTTTCAAATTCCATGAAAAACTTGAAGATTATTGTAAAAACAGGCTTTAGTTTCAAAACTCCGGAAGAAGGTTAAGAAATAAAAGGTTATTTCTCATGGACAGAGTCAAAGAAAATAGATGCACTTCAGAAAGTATCGGAGCACCTAAAAAGAAAAAAAAATTAGGAATTTCATATTTTCCGTGTAGAATAATGTATACATAAAAAACTTAGCTAGCTCTTAAAGTGAGATTTATACAAATTTTTAGATTTAAGGCCAAGAATTCAAAAAATTTCCTTCAAAAAAAAAACCATTCCGTAATTGAAATTCTTTCCCATAATTATGAATTCACGCTCATGAATTATCATTTTTTTTATGATACACCAGCAAGCTTTACGATTTGAAAAGAGAACACAATAGAAAACGATTGGAGAAGAAGGAGCAGAAAGAAGAAGAGCAGAAAAAGGTCCCTACTGGGGGATGACTAAGGTGGGCCCTTCCATTAACCTCAAAAGCTTCTTGCCGACTCGACTTTTATGGTTCATAGGGGTGGAACTGAAGCAAAATAAATAACAGTTCAATCGGAAAAAAAAAATAGAACAAAAGGAACAGTTAGGTTGATTTTCCCTCGCCTAAGCTTCAGCTAAAATCAAGAATCTGGGTCAAGACGGAAAGCATCCAAGAAAGGTAAAAAATTCATGAGTCGATGGGTTCGACGGTATTCAAAGGGGTATTTGAGGGTTGAGAATGAAGTTTCTGTACTAAAAAAACCGAAAAATATAGCCTGTGTACCACGACTTGGAATTTCACCGAACGACATTCCGCTGTGCCGGTGCGCGCCTTTGCAAACCTTGGTCGCGCTTTTAACTTTTTTTTTCTTTTTTTAAGGTACTCTACTTTCATGTGCTCCCACAGCAATAACAATACATTGAAAGCGTGACCTAGATTCGAAAGACGCTTCGCGAACGCATGCAGCGCGACAGCGGAATGTCGTACCGTGAAATTCCAATTCGTGGCACACAGACTATATGAATGGTAAGTCTCCGGAAAAGTTCTTTTTCCGTGAGAAGCGGCACCTGTGGCCGGCCCGCAAATGCAGATATGGGTTGCGCAATCGCCGGACGCAAGGTGGTTGATCGGAAAGAACTGTAACGAATATTAAGAAGCGTGTGTGGTAACGGAATCCGCTGCTGGGGTCTTCTGGTTGCCATCTTCTTTCATCCTCGCCGCATCCGGCGAGATTATTCGGATGTCACTTGGAGACGATAGAATGAGAAGAGTTTATGGATTAGTTCAAAGTCCTTTGGGCTAGAAATGGCTGGGTTTCTAACTGGGTAAGTGTTACTGTTTGCCATCGGTTGATTTTTCGGGCAATGCTCGACTTCTTGGATTTAGAACAAGATAAGAAATTGCTCGATTTTTGCCTTGTGGTCTATTAATGATGCTTTAAAGTTTGAAATAAGAGAAAAATGGCGTTTTTGAAGGTACTGAAGTGAAAAATGACCAACGAGATGAGCTAAAATCAGTCGATAGCTTATTAACATGGAAAAAAGTTGGGATGAAAGGAAGTGCCGCGGCTGACTCGAAGGAGGAGCTTCGACTTCTTTCCCAAGGCTGGCACGAATGAAAAAAATGGACAGGACTGTGCTCCTTGTGCCATATTTGGATTCAAGAAATTCAAATTTCAATAAGCATTACTTCAAATTTAATATAGAAAAGAGAATTCACTTCAGCTCTCAGGTTATGTAAAATTATTACGAAAATATTGATGCGACCCCATTTTTTTGAGATTTTTTTTTGGATGTAGTGGGTTTTCTTTGGAGAAACTGTACTCGTGATTAGATTTAAAATTTCAGAAATTCTCAGAAAAAAGCAGTTAACGAACCAGAGGTCAAGCTGGAAAAATCCAAACATTTTGTTCAAAATACTGAAAAATTCACAATTTCAGAGCAAAAGATCACAGAGATCAATGAATCAAAGCGCAAAAAAAGAGTTTAAACTCTGTCTAGACTCGTCTAAAACAGACAGAAAAGACAAAAAAGACAAAAAGGCAAAGAAATTCGAAAGAAAAGGAAGAAGCCATCTGGGCGCCGATTTGTCGCGCTCCGAAATGAGTGACATTTTGACCCGAAATCAAGGACATTATAGGGTTTGGAATTGATTAAAGAAGAGGTTATTAATGAATTCCTGGGGTTTCAAATCGAAATCAACTTGGCAAAACTGGAAGAAGGAAATTTGCATCAATAATTATGACGCAGAGTTACACTTTAATTTTTTTTTCCTATGTATGATAACACTAAAAAGAGTTACAAAGTACCGTAATCTCCAGGTGAGAAAACCCACAGGTAACTGTCAAATCCACACTTTTCAATCAAGTCAAATAATAGACAGGTGTGATTGTACTAACAGCCTTTTAGTCAACAGGACAGCATTTCACACTTTACCTGTCTGTCACCAATTAAGGTGACCTTCAGTTAACCTCACCTGTCCAGCTGACAGCGGAATCACACCTGTGAGTTATTTTTTGATTGAAAAGTGTGGAATTGACGGTTTCCTGTGGGTTTTCTCACCTTGATATCTTTATCGAAACTCTAAAAAATAGGGTAAGTTTGAATTTATTTTGATAATTTGCGATAGAAAATGATCAATTCTGCGTCAGAGCTATTGAATAATTCCTTCTTTTGAAGATTTTGAACTGAAAGGACCAAAATAGGAACAAGCAGGTTTTTTGCGGTAGAAAAGGGTACTGTATTCACTTAAAAGTCGCTTAATCTGCGAGCTTCTGGGTCCAAACGATCCGAGTGAACTCTCGAGACCGAAAGATGAAAGTCTCGAGCAAGCAAACAACTTTTTCCTTCCCTGTTTGCGGGAAATCCAAGAGTACTGTATGGCGCACGTGCGGCGGCACCTGTGCGAGAGTTTCGAAGCACCTGCAAGCTTCCATCCACAAAATGTCCTCCTCCTTTCCATTTCGAGACGCAATCGGGTAAAAAGGGGAAATTTCGACGCACCAGGACCATCTGCAAAGGAGAGGAAACCGCAGCTGCTCAACTCGCTCGTGCCGAAGATTCGGCACCTGCGGAAACTTGTTCTTCTTCTTCTGCGCGGAGGCATTTTGCGGCAGATTAGGAGGAAGATAAGGGAACAACAATATGAAATATCGAAAATATCATTGCGAAATGGTTGCAAGTTCGCCCGACTCAAAGCGACTTGCGCGCCACCGGAAGGCATCAGAGAAATGGCGAAAAATCCCCGCTACCGCGACGCTTTGAGTCATTCCAAGTGCGGCCACGACGTTTGAAAAGCGATTTTTTTCGGCCGAAGTTTTTTTTTTGAAAAAAAAAGATCGAAAAAACCTCACCAGAGTCCTGTTTTCCGTGGAAAACTTGTTCAGTTTAATTTCGAAATTCGCCAAAAAACCTTTCGACTCGAAATTTCCACTGAGATGACTTCAATAAAAAAAAACTGACCGAAAAAGAATTCTCGGTGAAGTTTCGTTGAACATCAACTTTTTTTCCCTCTCACAAAATCTTCTGCCAACCGTGTTCTTTCAGAGCCATAGAGTCCACTTTGAGGTTGAAATGAATAAATCTTTTCTTGTCCCGCGGAAAATCCGGCAAATTTCCCACCATTCAGGGACCAACCGGTGATTGATCATGTGAACTGTCTCTTCTTTGACTCCGTTTTCCAACATTTCGCGCACAACTCGCCTTAATTGTCGGCTGGCGACTAATTTATTTCGGTAAACAGTTTTTCGAGGAGAAGGATATAGCTTAGAGGGATTAGGAGCGTGAACGTTACTCTAAATGTTCAGAAAAGTTGGACGGCTAGAAAAAATTATCTTGAAAAATCACGGACTTCTGGGAATTTCAACATTCAAAGGTAACCCTGAAAAATGGCAACTAACTCGGACACAGGGACGAGTATCGAGTTGAAATTCTGGTGGATCACAGACCTAGGCAAGGTCTCCTAGAATCGAGCGAGATTATCTGCTAAACGCTTCGAGAAAAAGCTCCTCAAAGAAATCCAGGAAAATTCCTGTACGCTCCTGGAGCTTCCTCTTTCCCCGAGGTGGTCTAGCGCAGTGGTTAGAGGGTCAGACCCATGGAATTTTTGTATAAGTTCGATTCCTAGCGAGTGCAAATCTTTTTTGCATTTTTCTCAACTACCAAAAACTTTTAAAAAGTCAGGAAATTGACGCAACAGCTTTTTTCAATACAAGTATGATGCCTGTCAACTTTTCCAGATTTCGTGGAATTTTTTCTGAAATTCTTTGGAAATTAATTTTCGAATTTGGGACTTTTACAAAGTTTTTGTCTTCAAGAAAAATGCAAAAAAAGTGTGGACTCGAGAGGAATCGAACCTGTACAAAAAAATCATAGGGCTGCCCCGCTAACCACTGCGCCAGGCCACCTCTTTGAGAAAGGAGGTCCGGGTGCGTACAGAACTCTTCCTGGATTCCTTCAGGGAGCTTTTTCTTAGGAGTTTATTTGGTTTGGCAAATAATCTCCCTTGATTCCAAGAGATCTTTCCTGGGTCTACAAGACACCAAGTTTCAGATCGAAAGAAAAATCTGAAAATCGTTCCTTCTCTCCGAAAAGTTGATGCGCAGCAAAAATTGTGTTTTTAGGTTCGAAGGAATGCTTGAAAAGCATTTTTAAATAGTTTCGAAATTAAAAACTTACATGAAAACACTTGAAAGACATGCAATCTCTGTAAGGTGAAGTTAATGCGCAGTCAAAAAAAAAAATTTAAAAAAAAAACATAAAAAGACTGAAAAAAAATCAAATCTTGTCAAAACAGTAAAAAAAACAAGAAGAAACAAATCGGAAACGTTCCAATCCCACTGAATGGGAGGTCCTCAGGCAGCTGAGTTAGTCTTTTTTTTCTCCACTTTCCGTCGACGGTGTCGTCAAAAAGCCGTTCGTCGGGGCCGTAAATCCCAGCGAAAATAGCCGTCTCACCGGATCAACTAACGGATCCAAGTGCAAAAAAAAAGAATGGAAATTGAACAATTTGAGAAGTTGAAGCTTGAGCTTGAGGCGGTTATTTGAGATTTTTTTGGGACTCAAAAAAAATATTTAAAAAGTTTGCTCATCGTTATTTTATTAGAAAAATTATACGAAATATTCGAAGTTCCTGAAATTTCAAAAATCAACCCTGAGTCAATAATTATGACGCAGTGAGATCGTCGCAGGTTCGACACCTAAGATGAGCTGATAATTTTCAAGTTTGAGTTTTTAAATTGTACCAAAAAAATTTTCATGAAATTAAATATTAATTAGTTTTCAAAGTTCCATTACAAAAAAACCTACCAGGTTTTTTTCAAAAAAACTCCAGAAATTCGGAGCTGAGTCAATAATTATGACGCACTGAGACCGTAAATGTGTACTAGTTTCTAGCTTTCAAGAAATTTTCATTTTTTTATCTGAATAAAAATCAAAAATGAAAAATGTCTTATAAGTAAGTTTTGAATAATATGATAGCTTCTAGATAGAAAACCTACTTATTTTGATTCAACACTGGAAAGCTCCGTAAATTCAGTTTTTGGGGCTCGTTCAAAAATCTTCCTAACTACCTAGCGAGCTCAAGATTCTTAGCTAAGCGAATGAGTCACAACTTGTCTCAACCAGAAGCTTATATAGGGGCTTTTGGGTATCAAAGCATGAATAATTTGGCAAATAACAAGAGAAAAGAGCACACCTTCCTAATTTCAAAACAGAACGCCCGTTCCAAAAACTCCTACTCAAAACAAACTTCCGCTCCTGTTGTTCGAGTTCCACCTTCGCAAATCTAATCAAGCGTCTTAATTTCCCATATTCAAAAGCATTATCTTCTCTTTTTTTTTCGGATGGGGGCGTTAATCTAGACTTTCTTATTTTTCGAACTCGTCCGAGTTTTGTTAATTAAGATTTCTGGTCTGTGAGAAGATTAAAAATCCGAAAAAGTTCACTTTTTTGGAATAAACCATGCAGAAACGATCAGTTTTTAGTACAAAATTCTTTTTTAAGACCAATTTTTTGAGCTTCAAATTTTTGCTCTTTTTCAAAAATTTTCATTGGTTTACAACCGAAAAGTTCGTGAAACCAGAGGATAACTCAAGGATAAGCCAAGCCATTTTCAAGCCGAAAAGATTTTTTCGCGATTACAAGGGCTTGAAAAAATTACATTTTTCCCGAAATTTCTACCCAAAAAGTAAAAAAAAAAGTCCATCAAAATGACTTTTCAGCACAAAAAAACCTTATCCTAGTGAAAAACACCACCGTGGTCCTTATCAGGGCGACCCTAGAGGCCCTTGAAGGCTCTCCTCTAGGAACCACTTTACCTAATCCTAACGGGGCTTGAAAAAATGGTCCCCGCGACTATTTATGAACTCTAGGAGAAGAAGAATTTCCATGCAAAAAACTCAAAAAAAAAGGAAGTTTTTTGAAGAAAAAAAATTTACAGAAGGATCAAGTTTGTCTTTTTAAATTTCAAATCTGAAGACCCTATAGGGACCACTTGAGCTTCAAGAGCTTAGGGGCTATTCCCTAAACCCCTAAAGGGGGCACTTTTTTTGAACAAATTTACAGCCAACACAAATCACTGAACTCCACTAAAACGTGAGAAACGGAAGCGTTAAAAAGAAAAGGCCGAATCGTCGTCGTGTTGTCGTCGTGAACGGCTTTTTGCGCGAAAAAGAGCCGCCGCCGCGTCGAAAAAGCTCAAAAAAGCGCGCCGAAACACGTGTGTTGCTCTGAAATGTTACAAAACTCTTCTTTTCTTTCCTATTCGCGAGGTTTCAAAGAGCTATCCGTGCGGGAAAATAGCCAGTAATTTGAGGAAAAATGAGTGATAAAAAATTTTGCACCATCAAAAAAACAGTTGGTCTTTGAGTTAGTATTACGGAAGCTGAAAATTGATTAGGGGTTTTTTTTTAGTTTTGTTCCGGACATTCTGACTATTAATTCAAGTTGTAAAAATGAGTTCCTGGAAAAGAAACCCGACAATCCTTTCCGAGGTGTTCAAAGGAGCGAATTTTGATAAAAAGGTCTATCAAATTTCTTTTCTAGGCCCGCCAGGCAAACTGGGCGCCGTACTGTTCCTACATGGAGAAGCAGCTGATCGTCGGAACGTTCAAGAATCGTCAACTACTGTCTTAAGAAGGGCGAGAGGTTCTACGCGCCGTTCTTGATCAACGACGGTTTCGCGAACCGACTTTCGATTATTCCATGATTCAGTATAGTCTGTGTACTACGGCTTGGGATTTTACCAAACGACATTCCGATGTTCCGCTGCGTGCCTTTAATTTTTCATTTTATTTAGGAATGCGACCAACACGTGTTCCTAGTGGAACAGTCCATCTATCAGAAATGAGAACCAATTCAAAGCGAGACCGAGGCTCGCAAAGACGCTTCGCGAACGAACGCTGCGGAACAGCGGAATGTCGTTCGGTGAAATTTCAAGTCGTGGCACACAGACTATAGAGAACCTTCTTTGAAAACTGAATAAATGTGTGTGCTTGTGTGTGAAGGCTGAATTTCTGCGTCTTTGAAGAGCCTTTTCGAACCAACTTTCCATTCAGCACAGTTCGCTCGGTTTTTTTTAAGACGCAGCGGTACACTGAAAAAAGTTCGTCGCCTCAAAACCTTTCATGAAAACAGCCCATGCGCCTTTAAAAAACTCAGTGAAGTATTTAGCCTTCAATTAAGGTCCCCTCCAAGCCAGAAAATACAACAAAAAAAAACAAAAAAGACATAAAATCATGCAGAAGAAAGAGGGCAGGTGGGAGGTAGGGTAGATCAAAGAGGAGAAAAGGCGCGCTCGCGCCAAATCTTCATGATCCCTGAAGTAAATATAGACTTACCGTCGCACCGAATTTGTACAGACGTGTGGAAAAAGCCGAAAAAAGGGAAGAACAAGAACATTCATGCTAAATTCACACACAGGGAATCGTGTCTGTATATTTTTTGGAATCGAATATTTATGACAAAAAGCTTGGGAAATTTATTTCTTTTTTTGGAATTTTCAATGTCTTGTGAGTCATTTTCACTGTAGAGCTATCACATAAAATGCATTTTAATAACTTTTTCTCAAATAGATTGAACCTTAGATTTTTGTAGTAAGGCTCAAAAATCAGAAAAAATCAAAATTTCAATGCAAAAAGGGCTCAAATTTTAATGCTTCAAAAAGTCAGAAGTCCAAATTTTTAGATGTTCTGCTTTTCTTCTCAAATTCTGAAGCGAAATACTCTATCCGATTCAAAAATCAACTTTTTTTCAAACTTCACCCCAAAAAGGCCACCGCCACCCAGGTGTTCATCCTTCAAATGACAATAAAATGGCCGTTCCAGCCGTTTTTTTTTATCGGGCGCTAATCCCCTACTTCTTTTTTTTTTATTCTTCCTTTTTTGTCACGCGTTTTGACCCGATGAAGACGTGTGTGCAAACAGGCTCTCGGCCCTTTTGTCGGTGGGGCGCAGGTGTGCCCAAGGAGGAGAACTTCGTCTTCTGTTGGTCGACATGCAAATTCCGAAGACGTTTCATTGCGCGTTTCCCTTTGTCTTTGAGACATAGCGCCGCTCGGATTTCAAATAGCCTCTTTTGGGTGATTTTTCAAGAGAATGAAGCACCGAAATAAATTTCAAGTTCAAATTTTAACACGTAAAATCAAATTTTTCTCAAAAACGAGTTTATTAGAGCTTTGATCTCTAAGAATCTCCTTTCTTCCTTTTTTCCAGATTCCAAATATTTTTGGCACTTGATACAGTTTAAATCTTTTTCAACACCTGGCCTAAAACTCTTGAAATTCGATTTTAAAAAAGCCACAGTTTCGAAACTTTAGGATATTGAATCTTGAACTTTCGAACCAGACAAAAAGTATGACTCATTTTTTTTTGTTTTTAAAAACCTGGTCTCTCCAACTTGAGCGTGAAATCGAGGATCTTCAGTTTCTTGCTCGAGAAATGCCTGCTCTAAAAACTTTTGTTTTTGAAATCTTCCGGCTTTCATTCGACTTCCAAATGAAAACAAATGAGTTGGCCATCTCAAAAATAAAGAAAGGCAGACAACACTCGAGTTCTTGCGAAAAGGAAAGGTTAAAAAACAAGAAATCGAAATGCCAATATCCAACTTGGTTGAATTGTTCGGACCAAAAAACCAAGGCAAACAACATTTTTCTGCAGAAAAAGAAAGGTTTAAGATAGATTCACCATTCCGCAAAGAAAATTGAAGAAAATAATCAGAAGTTTGAAAAAGAATTTTATAACTTTCAAACTTTAGAAGAAGGAAAAAAACCTTTGACAAAATAATTTGAAAAAAAATGTAGTTTTCGCCTTTTTCTTCTTCTCAAAACCTCTACAAGATCGTTTTTATCTCCAAAATCAAGTGAAAAGTCGGATAAATAGCCCAAAATGATCTTAAAAACGATCAACCCAGGTTTCTGGGAAGGCGCGAATCGGATTAACAAGTCTGACTTCACACCAGTCCTAAGGTGCCAGGGCTAGTACAAATCTGAGAATATTGTAGTTTTTTGGTTATATGAGATTAACAGAAGCTATGGTCGGAAATAATTAGGAAAGTTTTAAAATGACAAAACTGTACACTGAGGGACCAAAAAATTTCGATAAAAGTATTATTTTAAAATTTCGATTTAAAGGAGCATAGAAAATTCTGGTAAAGATACCTCGAGGCTTCTAAGAAAAACATAAGAAAAGTAGAAAATTGTAACCTAGCCGCAAAGGGGACCAATTTCAATATCAAGACGAGGTGTGAACGGCTGCATGCTTGGGACACGCTTGGGCGGCATCTTTTGTAGAAAAACGGTATTATAATTAATTACCAGGATTGAAAGGTGAACCGATGCCAGGAGGAAGTTATTAGTAACGAGCAAAAAAAGTTTGATCTCGGGCGGGCTCGAACCGCCGGCCTTCTGTGTGTTAGACAGATGTGATAACCACTACACCACGAGATCACCGACGGGCAAAGTCGCCGACGCACAACTCACCTCGATGGAAGGGTGAAAGTTGAAGATGATGAATGAAATAAATATTGAAATTTCCTTCAAAGGAGACGTGGAGAGTTGTGACGCAACTCCGGATGGTGCATCGACGACTAATTTCAGGGGAAAACGGTCGCACCTGGTGGCAAGTTGGATGGGCTCCTTGCGCAAATTGTTGCCAATTAAACCCGACAATTAGCCGCCGACCGATATATAGTCTCGTCACACACCAGCTCTAATGGAATCTGTGCAGCTTAAAATGAGTTGGGACTGTGAAAATGTGACGGAAAAGTGGTTTTTTGAAGCTTCTGTGAGAAAATTTCTTGGTCAATAGTTGAGAGTTTCGGTGGCCTATTTTTTGTTCTTGAGATCATTTTTTGGAAAGAAGACGGTTCAGAAGTTTTCTGGTACTGAAGATAAAGTAGGAAAGCTGGGATTACTGTTTTTCGTATTAGTATGTTGCTGCGAAAAAGATCTCAATAGGCTGGAAAACGCCTTGGATTCTTTTTAAAGACCAGGAAACTTGGTTGGAGCTACGTTTCCTGTGAGAAGCTCAGAATACGGAAGAAATATGACTTCATAACACTACAAAGAGCTCAAAATTTGTTTCCCTTTGAACTTGTGAAAGCTGCGGAGAAGCTAAGAAAGCTGTATGAAGGCTCAAAATATTGTAAAGCCCTTCAAAATCTTCTTCTTGCCTCTAAATATTTATATAAGGAGCTTTAAGACGGTATAAACACGATGAGACAGCTTCAAGTTCATATTGGAGCTATCTCGTGAGTCTCTGAAATATTTTCTTTTTTTATCTGAAGCTCTAGAGTCAGTTTGAACGACCCTATTTGGTGCTTGCTTCAAGTTATTAACCTTGAAGTCAAACCTTTCGCAGGAAAAGGAGCAACATCAATACATTCCAATTCTGATACAGTACCCTCCTCTCAAGACCGGAAACAAGAAACAAGCGCCGTCTCGATGGCACCCCAATCGAGTCAAGCCGAATCTGACGGAACACTTTGACCCGACGCCTCGTGTCGGCAAACAACCGAAACCATCAATTTCGGCGCCTTCCGCCTTGTTCGGCCGCCGGATTAGTCACACTGATCGTCAAACAATCGAGTTGGAGGAAGAGCAAGAGCATGAGTTGGTCAAGAGTTGTGTCCATATTGGGAGGAACACGAAAAAAGTACAGTCTTTTTTCTTCTTCCTACGCCTTTGTACCGCTTGAGCGGTGTCGCGGCTCAAGCGGTACAAAGGCGAAGTCGATTAATCGAGGTACTATCCTGATATCAGTGATAATCAGTGGACTGGCTCTAGTGACCTATCCGTCCTTGTTTGGGACGGTTGGGGATTTTTGAAATCGCGGTTTCCCACTACCAACATTTCTTAAACCTTGGTTGGGTCGATCGAACTTGTGACCCTGTGGACCGTAGACAGGCACACAACCTGTTGCGCTACGGCGTGAATGCCAAGAAACTACAGTAATCTAAGGATTCTTGGAAGTTTTCGCCTTCGGACCTTTTTCAAACATTTTATCGGCAGTTTTTTATTCTTAGCAGAAAATGGTATCATAAAGTTATCATAAAGTTCTCAACAGATATCATAAAGTTCTCAAAAATTTCGTTGCAGAACTTTCAATTTACGGAAGAAGTTTTTCGGGTTGTTTTTACTGTGATTATTTAGGAAAGGTACAGTAACTTAAGAACACCTGGAATCACAGCTTCAAGATCATTTCCAAATGATAAATCCTCGATCGGAAAACGGAATTGATAAGTTTCACCGTGTATTGGAAAATAATTGGGAAATTGCAGCGTTGAAGAGTTGATGGGAACTACAGTAATATGATTGGTTCCTTGAGCTTTTCGTTCCGGAGTCTTCATATTAGAAAACGGAATTGTTTCCAATCTTTTCGTTAACATCAATTATTGGTGGGAAACTCATGTGAATTGCTAACTATGTTAATTATAATATACGTCAGTGAGGTATGAAGAACGTAAAGACGTCGTGAAGTCCGGGGATCAGGAAAATGGAAAAAATTTTCGCAGATGTTTTTCAAAAATTTTTTTTCTTATCAAGTTATCAAATTCCATTGATCGGTTGTTTAAAATTGAGAGATCTTCATCTTTTTTCATGATACTGGCTCCTAGGTAAAGTCTTTACTTATTTTTTTATCTTTACCATAAAGAGAATTATAGTAAAAAAACAAGACCTAAAAAAATCATTTTTCAACCTTTTTAAACTTCAGAGGAAGTTTAGAATACGATTATAAAACTTTTTTTCATAAATCAAGAGAGAAGCTGAAGGAAAGAAAGATTCAACCAATCAAAAAAAAGTCCAAAGTGGTTTCATTTTATCGGAAAAGAGTCAAGAAGGAAATCTTAGCGGTTTCGATGGAAATTGGACGCGCTAATCGCCCAGAAAAAATGGAGAAGAACCGACGAAAAAGCGTCGTCGGGAAGGCGATTAAATATTTTGGCCGTGGCGCCGGACGTCTTCAGTCAATTCAGAATACCGTGAGTGAGACAAGAGGATTTATGATGGCGCGCCGTTTTGAAAATGAAGAGGTTAGAAAAAACGAGGTTTCGAATGGGTAAACAGGCGAGGAAAAATAAACAGTTTTCGTTGAAATCTGAATCCCAATTTTGTATCTGAATTTTTTCCAAAGCTTTTGTGTAGAACTGAAAACTTAGTCTGTCATGAATATTGGCTCAGATCCAAATTTTAAAAATTTTTGTGGGAGGTGGGGGGTTCGAATGGTTCCGAAAAAAATTAGACAGTCGAGGAACAGGGAATATCTGAATTTTTCAGTTCAATTGGATCATTTTCAATTCGATAAACTACTGAACTTGAAAAAACAAGACTGACAAGGGAGGTCATTCCGGATCTATCTGAAAATCAGTCTGAATATACCTGAAAGTACCAAATCAGGGTCCTGAAAGTCTCAACCTGCACAATTTCCTAGCTGTTGAGAAAGGATCTCGAAGCCCAAAAATAGTCTATTTTAACGGGTTTCAAGGTTTCCTTTGGCCTTGAGGTATCCTTTCTCAAAAACTAAGAAGATTGTCAAGACTTCCAGATCCGTTTTTTTTGTAATTAAAGAAGTTTTCTGACCATTTTTCAGGAAATTATCAACCGCAAAGAAAAATGACCTTCCTTGTGAGTCTTTAATTATGACGCACGGTTCATCCAGTTACTCTTCTAGAGTTCAAGAAAAAGTATATTTAATGTAATCCCACAAAATCTTTCGAAACTGGCTTCGCTCATTTCTCTTTTTTGGAAATTTCTTGAATTTGTTTTATTAAGCTTTATCCATGTGCCTAATCCTGACTATAAAAATTTAAAAACGAATTTAAATCAGATTTATTCTTCCTTGATTCTCCGTTATCTCCACTTCGTCTAAGGTATTTTTCAAAACTCCATTTATGACTAAGAAAAAACGGTTAGACCATTGAACCAACCTTTTGCATTGCAAAATATTTACCAAAGCCACGAACTTATCAATAATTATGGAACCAAACTCCTTTTTCCTTATTTTTAGCCTGCAAATGCCTCCGAACAAAGCATGAACCTTCCCCACTCTCATCAAATATCACGATGACTCATCGTTTCTGCCAGTTTGATTAAAAATGCTCCAAAATGTGCAAGCTTGATATTAGAATCTCCTGCAAGGAAAGGTTAGAGCAAATATTATTCCTTCCGTTTCGAACCGCAGATTAATTCGGGAAAAACAACCTTTCGTTTCTGTTCATATGAAAGACTAAACATGCAAACTAGAGCTTTACTTCTCTCTCTCAAAACAAACGAAAAATAAGAGAAAAGAAAGGAATCTGGGATGAATACAAAAAAGCTTCACTTTGTCATATTTTAGGCTACAAAAAATATCAACCTGAAGACGTAACTTTGTACTGGGCTATGTACAATGGAGACCCGATTTCTCATTTCGTGAAGATAAAAAACCTGGGCAAAAAGTTTCTCAAACGAGGGGCTCCAAGCCAAAAAATGTCTTTTGTTCGTTGGAGCTTCTCAGCCATTTGGCCACGATTGAAGAGGCATTTCGATCACCGATCTTTCCTGAAAATCTTGAATTACTAAAAAAAAAAACCAAAAAAATTCACAAACTAGAGGGATTGAACCAAAAAGGGACTTTTGAATAAAGTGGTAGCCACCTTTCCACATCGTATCAAGGCCTGAAAAATATCAGAAAGTGATAACATATTTATTAATACTTGAATTTTCAAGAAGAGAAATAATAATTAGTTAAATTTTGGTTTAAAATGTAACAACTCTTTCCAAAGATTTTATGGATTTGATTCCGAATCCGTATCAACGCGGTATTAAATATGATTACTCGGGTAAAGTCGGAATGGTGGATAATGGCCGCTAAAAGGGAATGGCTCGAAAAAGGCCGCATAAAGGCAGCAAAAGTAGTCTTTATCGAGCCTTCCATTTTTTTTTTCTGAGATTTTAAAAGCCCGAAAAATGGTGGAAAAAAGAGAGAAGCAGCAAAAAGGGTGCAGAAGTGCCGATGAAAAGGTGCAAAAAGGCAGCGAAAAAGAAAAATTTCTATGGAGCCTTTTCGAACCCTTTCCGACTTTGCCTTTGTAAAAAGATTTGGGAACAAAGACCTTTCAAAATACTATATAATTGCTCATGGAAGCTTCAAGCATGTAAGATTTAGTGAACCTCCAAAATGTTCAAAAAAAACTTTTTTAGGACAGATCAGTTCTTGATAGTAACCTGACTTCAATCCGCTCTCCAAAAAGAAGCTCAATCAGAGAGACCGAATTATTCAATTTTAAGGGGCTGAAATTATTCACACAGACCTCCGTGACAGTTTTTGAGCTCGGATTCAGCTTAGAAAATCGCATCTAGTAAATCAAAGTTTACATGGGTTTTCTGTATTCAGCTCTTATTCTACTCCCTAATTTTATAGAAAATGTCTCGCTTCTGTAGGAAACAATTAAGGATATAAGCTTTTATATTTGCGAGACCTGATAGAAGTTTTTAAAAAAAAATATATAAGAAAGAAGATCTCGGGCTTCTCTACAAAATGAGAAAAAAATTCGGTTCCTAAGCAACTACACGTTTCCATGGGAACGGAATTATTTTCGTGGGTCTACGGTAATATACTTAGTCTTCCTTCTTTTTTTCAATTTGATTTGGAATTCTGTCAAAGAAATAATTATTCGCCGAGAAACTGAATTTCATGGCACATGTGCGCTCTTCGGCAAATTTTTCCAATAAATGGCCTCAGAAACAAGAAAATGATTTAAAAAGTCATAAAAATATACCAATAAAGGGGCTACTAGATGAAAATACGCTTCAGAAATAGGATATATAAAAAATGAAAATTTATATAAAATATTAAATGTATGTTATCGTTACAAAAATATAGTCTAGAGGTATAGTCAATCCTTCTCGACTTGAAAGATTGGCAAGCGTTGCGTACGCGACGCGGTTCTTTGGCGGGGAACGTAGAGTCAAACGCGAGCTTTCAAATTTTCCTTTTTTTTTAACAGTTGGACATGATTTCGAAAAAGTTTAATAGAATGAATAAAAGTATGAGAATAATAAAACATTATTTCCTTCTACTTTTTTCCATGGTTGCGTTTAGCCTTCAGCCTCTCACCAAGGACCGCGTCGCGTACGCAACGCTTCACGCTTGCCAATCTACCCATATCCCCTTTGAAGTAAGGAAAATTTGACTATGAAGAAACTGCAATATTTATGTGAAAACGAAAAGTATCAATTGGAACTTGAGTTATATCTCAAAGTCCTGCATTTACACGAGAAATTTGCGATACTTGAAATCTTCAAACTGAAATAGTTTGAAACCGGTCTATACTCCGGCATTGGTAACGGACGGGCTCCAGACGTTTCTGGGCGATTCTAGGGATCACTTAAGAGTACTAACGCTACTTAAGTGGTCACTAGAAATGCCCAAAAACGTCCGGAGCACGTCCGTTACCAATGTCCGAGTACCTATTCTCCCATTTCTCAAAATAATCCTAGTATTTTCCACGAGATTATATCCTTTTTCTATTATAAAGTTAGGGCTCTGAATTTTTATTTCTTCGATTTCCCCGTTAATAACTCCGTTCTCTGCAAAATTGCAGAGTTGCGATTTATGACCGAAGACATCACGGGAAACCATAATTGAATCAAATTGTCGGCCATGACAACCATGTAGACAAAGTGACTTGTGATTCAATTTTTCAGTCCAAGTTTCACCTGCATCCGAATATTTATTTACTAAAAGAAAAGAACTTCCTCTTTTTAATTTGTGAAAAACTTTGTAGTTAGTGGTTTATCTCGTCTTGGTTGCTTTTTCCTGCTTTTTTCGTTTTGTCAGAAAAATATAGTTTCATTGGATAAATATGTTCAAGTTAAGAAGCTTCTCGGAAAAGATATTTCAGTCTAAATATGGGTATAGCTCAATATAGTTTTTATGAGCCTTTATCCGACTTCTAAGTGACCTCTTTAGGAGTTGGAATCACTGTTTAGACTATTTTTCTTCCTTTTTTGGATTCATTTATAGATTTCTAGCTCCTCGGAGCCTACATTGATCGCTTGTTGTTTCAAGACGTCATTCGACTTTTCTAATCCCCCCGAGAGATCACTAAAACTTGATGTATCAGAAAACTTCAAAAACTCCAAATCGCCATGGAAGAAAGGAAACCGTTCGTTTCGCTCAACTACGGCTTGGAGGGCTGTTGGGAAAAAGTACAGTATTATAACCGAATGGCCGCCACTTCAGTTTCCTTCTTGATTCAAATTTTCATTATCGCCAGGATTTTATACGTCAACAAGTTCAAATTGAAAAATGACTACCAAATATTGGTCGTGATTCAAGCCGTGATCAGTTTGATTTCCAGTGATACGGAATCGTTCGTTTGTCAGGTGATTTTTTGAAATTTTATTGAAAAATGCATGGAATGGCTCAGTGCGTCGCGGTTTTGATTGCGTTCGACGGGAAACTACTCGGAAAGGCATTATAAATCATTATAGTAGTGATATTCCAGATGCAAAAAAAAAAAAACAATGCGAGCCGTGACGCTTTGACCATATCAACCTTATCAAAATCCCAAGGAAAAATCGAGAAAAAAAAGTCAAACAAGAAAAGCCTTTCAAACTTCTCGAAAATCTAAAGGAGAATAAATGTGCTTCTCAACAAGAACTGCATTTTTCAGATCCAAACCGAACGGATTGGCTACGTCAAAATCGGGCCACAGTTCGCCCCGTTCTCCTACGACACAATCGTCATTATCTCGTTTTTCAGTGGAGCTCTCGGCTCCATGGAATTGTACTTTTTGGTCGTTTTCAATATGCATCGATATTTCATGTTTTGCAAGTTCGTTTTAAAAAGATTCTGTTGGAATCCCTTCAAAATTCGCGATTTTTTCAGACCTCACGGTTTGAGAAAGTTTTACTACATAGCCATTCCATTTTTCACTCTCATTTCTCTATTAGATGGTCTAACTTTATCGAATACATTAAAAGTAAGTTTGATTTTCAAAAAACGGTCGAAACAAATAATTCACAATTTATTTTTTGCATATCACTTCGCGTAACACGCTTCGTGGATGGCAAAAAATAATTTTCCTTTCACCGTCAATTTTATAATTTAACTTTATTTAACTAGAGCGAAAAAGATTTTCATATTGTGAGAATGTAGGATTGAACATTTTGGGATCTCTGACACTAAAAATCAAAGTTTAAATTCGGTTAATTTTCGCCCTGAAAAAAGTTACGTGGAAAAATAAATCATTTTCACTAGGGGGGCGAGAAAATCGAAGAGTTTTACCTATATTCTGTGACACCTATAATTGTTGCGTGCACAATGTACTGCTATCGGAAACTGACGAAACATTTTAAATCAACTGGATATTCGACGAAAGTACGGCAGCTCCAAGCAAAACTCTCTTTGAGTATCCTTCTTCAGGTTTGTTTTATTTATCTTCCCAATAAAACCCTCTTTTTCAGTCCTATTTGTTCATGTTCGTGGGCTTTTTAATTTACTTACTACCTTGGGCGTTAAGCTACTTCTACGAGTCTGAAATCTTCTTTCTACACTATAAACTTGTAAGCTTTCAAATTTTTCTTCCATTTTATTGTTACAAATTTTCCAGGTCGTCGAATGTATTGTGGATTGGCAACCAGTTTTAACTTCTGCATTGATCTGTTGGTCTATCGCTGGTTACTTTAGAAGTACAACACCTTCTAAAACAACTTCTGAAGTCTCAAACTTGAGAAGTAAAACATTAACCGAATCTGGACTCGTTAAAAGTTGCTTCTCACAGAAGAAACTTGTTCATTTGGATGTTATTAAAGTTGTTGGACCGTGAAAATAAAAATCTATAACCTTTTGCGGTGTCGATCCTGCGGGTAGAGAAATGTACATCATTCTGAAAAAAAGGAAAAGTTTGACGAATAATTCTGAAATCAGTAAAAGCGACCAGGTTCCATGTCATCCTATGATATGTATCCCTGTTTTTCCAATAGTGAATATTAAAACCGCATGAAATTTCTGAAAAAATAAATTCAAAGAAAAAACCTTAAAGTACTGTCCAGGAAAAAATTTTCGAAGAAAAAGTCCAACTGGGAGCAAAGCTGCTCTATTTACAAAGGGCACCAATTCTCCCCCGTCTGGCGCGACTTTGCGGCGAGAGATTTAAGTTCCGCAGGCTTGCGCCAAGAAAAACCCAGCGCTAAAATTTGCGCAAACCTCGCGCAATACAGGGCGCAAGCTTGCGCTATGGGAGGGCTGCTTTAGAGCTCACAAACTCATTTACAGTAATTCCGAAACTGTTTCGTCTATGTTTTTCTATTTTTCCTAAATTATGTTTTTCTTTTTTTCTATATATTTTTTTCTGGTTTTTTTATAAATGAAATTTTATCATCATCGTTTTTTAGTTGACTTCATATTTGTATGCGACGCGTCGAAACGTATCTTTTTCGAGAGATTCGATGTATTGGTTTATCCGATTATACTTTGAGAAAGGTAATTATTTTTGTTTTTTTCTTCCTAGCGAAGACGTTTTTTGATTATTTTTTTCTTAAAAAAATTAACTCCAGAAATTACAAAAAAAGTGAGTTCGATATTCTTTGTATTAGCTGTAATACTGAATTTTTTTCAGATCTAATGAAGAGAGAGTTCAACAATAAGATTCTCATGGAGTGGTGAACATGATATATGGAAGTTTGCAATGTTGAGGTTTGTAGTTTTTCGAATAACATTTCATTATTTCTCTTATGTTCTTGGTACAATCCAAAGCTGTACACTACGTCTATAATAAGGATATATACAGAAAACTTGAAGAGATTTCGAAAAAAAGTTTATCAGAGTCAAAAAGACGATTTTTGTGATGGATTAATATTAATAAAATGGCTATTATGATGAAACTTGGGTTCCATAGGTAATTCTTTACGCTCAATCGGATGGCTTTAACAGATTTTTTTGATATATTTTTCTGGATTCGCCGAAAAGTCCATGATCGAGGGTGGTCCTATCCTTATTGGACGCAGTGTACCAGATATAATATCTGTTCATATAAAAAAATTAAAAGGGACCCTGATAATCATGTGATTGTTTAACAAAAAAATATGTATTTTTAACAAAAAAATCGTATAAAGTGAAAAAGCAACTATAAAACTTCAGCTATGATACGCCGAATTTTTCGACACGATGATGGTCAAAAAGAAAGAGGTTCCTCCACCCTGGTTCGAAATATGCGAATAAAAAGTAATTTTTGATTATTTTTTTATCTTTGAAAAAGTAGATGAGAGCGATGGAACGTTCGCTGCGTAACGTCCCAAGCCATCGATTCGCAGGCCCTTATTAGAAGACTTTTTTTCCGAGGCTAATGGATGAATGAAGGAAGAAATTGTGTTCAACACTATCGAGATTCTGCTAGCGCAACTGTACACATCTTTATATTGTTGAAAAACCCACTTGCAAGAATATGAACATCATAATTTCATGTAGTTTTCTGAAAAAGTCGAGACTATACTGGAAATCGTTATGCGCGATCAATTATTCAAGCTACTTGTAATTATATTTTACCTAGCCCTTACCAGGTAACTACGCAGGCACTTGTTTGCAAGTTGAGTTGCAACATTTTTTTAGATAGACCTGGATAGGGATGCTTGAAAACAAAAAAAAAGTTTACCTACTGGGTTTCAAAATTTGCAGAGAAATAGGCTCACTAAACTGCACAGAAAAGATTTGAAAAATACTTTTATAATACTACTTTTCATTAGATTGAAGTATCAGAACTCTTGCAAGTGGAAATTTTTATTGTATGTCATGATGTATTTTTGATATTTCTGCGTTTTGAAATTGTTCCATGTTTCACTTTTTTTCACTGTTTCTGAACTTCCGGGTCTTCTGAATCTTACTATTTTGCAAAACCCCCCGGTTGTTTTATTACTGGAAATAATTCGAGTCATTGTAATTATTAAACATAGCTTAAATTTTACCATTCTCACGTTATCTTTTTTCCTTTCATTATTGATTGATACCATGAAATCCAATGCATCTTAAAGACTTCAATTGTTGTAAAGTGTAAAATTAGTTCATTTTAGAAATAAATATAGTTTTTCCAAGTTTTCTGTGTTTGTTCAGCCTCTTTTGAGCTGCGACACTCACAGGTTGCTTGTATTTTTTTGTTTAAATCAAGCTGAAAATTCAATGCTATGGATAAATAGAAAAAAAGCTTGAGTTAAATAAAATACAGGCGACCTTTGAGCGTTGTAACTCAAAAGAGGAAAATAAGAGGAAGGACGAGGAGGAGAAAGGAAAAGGATATCACGAATGCGTGCTCCATGGATAATTCGCGCAACCCTTGCGCCTCTACGCGCAAGCTTGCGGCTAACATGTGCACATACTCGCGCAATTCACGGCGCAAGCCTGCGAAATCCTCGCCGCAAAGTCGCGCCAGACGGGGGAGTAATTATATAATTGGTTAACATTTATTTTTATTTTTCATTCTTGAATTTGTGTTTTGTTTTATTTTTAATTTTGCTAATCCTATGGTGTACTTATTCATGGAGAAATTTTTTCAAGGGTAGGAGACAATTATAACGCTGGTGAATCGCAAAAATTATTTTTAAAAAAACTTTTTTTATTATGGAGCTTTCTTTTATGATTATTTTGCAAATGAACCATAATCTTTTTAATTGATTAATAACTTTTGGCATAACTCTCTCCAATGTAATTATTATATTAATAATGTTTCCTAACCAACTTGCGTGAGTAAAAACAAAGGAGTTCTTTAGAACAAAAGTTTTTTTTCTGATACTTGAGAAATTACTTTGTTATATTTTTTTATTTTTGGAAAACGCTCTTGAAATTTCAATGGCAGAAATGTTATTAAAATAAGTTCCTGGGGTTTCAAGGGAACATGGATTCCAGGTGGTATGAAAAAAACAGCAGCGAAAATTCAAACGGCGACTTTTTCGATTTTTTCATATCGCTAGGGAACTTTCCGACTTTTTTTCCTTATGTTTTTTTCGGTTTTTAAAAAAATCTATTAACATTTTTTCTATTTATTTGTGTTTTAATCATGAATAAACTACCTACTTAATATAGGAAAATTCAAAACGCAGATTTTATCGAGAAAAAAAGTCGGAAAAAAATTCTTCGGAAAGGTGGCCGTCGGAAAGTTCCTTAGCGATATAAAAAAAACCGGAAAAGTCGCCGTTTGAACTCTCGTTGGTGTTTTTTTCATACCCCCGGATTTCATCCATAACGGTCGCTTTCAAACGTAAATCATTTTTCAGTCTCAATTTGGCTAGTGAAAAATTCCTCCACCTTTACAACCCCCTTCACCCAGAAAAGATTATTCAAAAAAACTTTTTTTCATATAAAAAAACCAGAACTTGATGACTAACAGCTGGTGAAAAGTAGAAAAGAACATTCATTTTATGATAGCTGTAAAGTAATATATAACAACAAGCAATAAAAAAAAGCTGATGAAAATTATTGCGGGGCCGATGCTGCGTTTTGTGTGGTGGCGATAGATGGTCGTGTCCTCGTTAAAACTTTGTTTTTAGACCTGATATTAAAACATTTTGAATCTTTGATCATGAAAAATGACAAACCAAAATCGGGCAACTGTTTTTTCAATGATGAAATTCCGATATCGCGGCGTTACCAACATTAAAAGAGTACATGCTACCAAGCTATGACAGGACATCATTGATAATACCATGTTGTAGTAATCTAAAGATTTCATTTAAGAAAAAATCATAACAAAAAAGTGAACATCTCATTTCCCAAGTATTGCCAACAAAGACGAAAATTGCTATGAAAGACGGTAGACCGTAGAGACTGGCTGGAGCGATTGTCTACAAGAGAGAACGTTTTTTTCTCCTTTTTGAGTTTTCTAGCTATTTCTTGTCAAAAATCTTCTAATACAGTATAAAATGCCGCTAACTTCAAACTAGTCCAAACCTGCGCAATGATCGAAGCCAAGAAAGTCTTTTGCATTTTATAAGTCTGTGCCGACATGATGGGTCGAAGCTGGTGTAACGAGTAGAACATGTTGAAAACTATCAAAAAGCAGCAAAATCCTGCAATTTCTTGAGATTTTTCGAGTATTCTCGGGTAAAAACCAAGGATGATCAGGCCACCGTTTGCATATAAAACATAAGTGATCATCCAAATGTTTTTACTAAGGTCGGCTGCAACGACAACGTGTTCAAGGAGAGCACTAGCTTTTGGATAATACTGAAAGTTCTTCCACTTTAATTTTTCAAAATATAATCTTTGGAAAAAATAAGGACTGATCAATCACTTCAAAAGACGAGAGTTCTGTTTTTAATTATAATAAATATTTAGGATGTATCAAATCAATAGAGTTTTGATAAACCTGATAAAAAATGTCGACGGTTTCTCTTCGATCATATGTCGTGAAAGCTAGGATCACAACAACAATAATTCCCAAACAGAGAACATATAGAACTGCAAGAAGGGCTCTGAAAGTTTGCTTCCCCATGTGAAACTTCTGGAAAAATTCCTTTTCGTTATGATTTAGTTTTCCATAGGTTTACATTACGAATTTCCGCAATCGCTTGATGGCGATATAAAATTCCGTGCCCCATTGAAGCTAATGCCAGTGGGTGAACGGATAGAACTACTATCTATAAAAATCTTATTTTTAATCTTTCTTCTGTACTTTACAATTTGAATAATTGGGCTTATGCCGAGTAAGGTGGTGTAAAGGCCCACAAATACGACAACAGGTAGTGGAAGAAAAATGACTGGAGCTAGGAGCAGTGAAATATGAATATCGTTCAAGAGAATCGCCGTCTGAAAATGGCTTTTCGGGCATTTTCTCCTTTTTTGCGGCCCCTTTTTTCGCTTCATGTCCTTTAATTGCGTATCTAGTGCTCACTTCTGTATCAAGCTTTTAGAATGCGAAAAAATGGCAGTTTTCACTTTTCAAAATTTTTTGACTATTCTGATAGACTTGTGTTTGTTCAAAAATTGTTTCTTGAAGGCGCCGATGTTTTTCATGAACCAAAATAACAATTTGATCGTCTCGAGATCTCCGAGAAATTCGGCTACGTGTCTTTCAAAGTCCTTTTTATGTTATTTTTCTTTATATCAGAGTTTTTATCCGAGTTCACACGGATTCCCTGTGATTCTATTCAATTCAAAAACCTGAATATACAGAATGTAGTAGCTGTAACTCTTGAAAGTGTTCGATTGAGTTATAATAATGTAATAAGTTGGAATATTGATGAGAACCGTCGCAATTGTGATACTCATATCCACCCAATACTGTCGAGATAGAACCGCGGCAATATTTTCGCGTGTAAAATATTGTTCCACGGAGCTGTCGAGCGGTTTTGGTTTGAATTGGTCGAGGAAAGTTTCCATTTCGATGAAAATTTGATTGAAGAATCGAAACTATATAGAGTTAGAGACGAATTTTTCGAGCAATCGACTTCGAAGTTCTAGTTTTTATGGTCTAATTCTTTCCTTTAAAGTTTCAGTTGGTGGTTGGAGCTTAAGATTTTCAACAGAACATCGAAGTCGATCCAGATAAGACTATATCGAGGGAAAATAATGTGGCAAAGTAGGAAAAAATTTAGATTTTGCAGCTGAAATGGCACAGAAACATTTGAAGTTTTCAACACCGGCAGCTGAAAAGAAAATTACTTCTCTAGGAGCTTGTTCCTTGAAAAAGCTACTTTAGTCTAATCTTTCTCGTGGACCTTTCGGTTTCTGTATTTTTAGTCTTAGACTGTTTTTCAACGAGCCTCTTCAAAATAATTGTCGTGAAAAGGCGCTTGAACGATTTTATGACTTCTTTCATACAGCATTTATTTTAAAATTTATGATCTAGTTCTGACGAATCTGAAAAAAATTCAAGAAAAAGCGTTTCTATAAAAACTTTGATCAAGTGAAAGATTTCTACAACGTCTTTTGTCGGATGAAAAAAATAAATAATTCAAAAAGATCAAAATTTAAAAAAAACGATGCATTTCTAGTAGGGCATACTTTGTTCTTTGTTCGTTTCCTAGCAAAATATTCGGAAAGTACGAGCAGAGAACCCCGAAGTTGGAGCATGAAGCGTTTCTTATCTCACAGTACATCGAACACTTTTTGCGAGGGCGCGCTGATTTTCGATAAGGTTTGCCGCAATCAGCTATTGGCTCCAAAAATCATCGGCTATGCACACATAAAAGGCAACCCTCTGCGAAAAATTTTATCAATTTTCCATTGGTTCCAGTCTCCTCTTTCCAGAGCCATTAAACCTTTTTCGTGATAAAGTCAAGTTGCAAATTTCTATTCTTGTAAGAGACCCAAAATCAGTTTCAAAAGAAGATTTTCTCATAGTTTTTTTTTTGAAAACGCTTGGTGAGGCCTTAGAGAGCGCAAAATATCTGAAATTGATCTGAACGAAGTTTCGCGCTATTTTCATGCTTCTTCGAACAACAAAGTTTTGGAAGTCAAGTCGCCTTTATCCATCTGAAATTAGCCTTTTTTGATTCATATTTTTGTGAGGTAAAAGTTTGATTTTTTAGAAAAAGGTCTTCGGGGGTTTTTTTTAAGACGTGTAAAAAGCGCTTTTTATCTATTTTCTCTTCATGAGAGGTTTCAAAAGCTCAAAGTTTGTAACTTAGCAAAAATGAAGTTTTAATATTTCGTAAAGCCCTTTCCTTTAGCTCGAATTAAGTTGAGTTTCGACTCACTCGTAAAATTATTTTTTTGACCTCCCTGCAAACAGAATTTTTTACAAGGTTTTTTTCCTTGTTGTATTCCAATAATAAACAAATATTTTCTATCATTTAGTCACTGTTTGTCTTTTATTTGATATTATCGACGCCCTGCGAAAAAATGGCTGAATCTCTTGTTATACGTAATTTTTGATAGTTAATTGGCTGACAGGTAAAACTGTATATTCTCGTTCCTTTTTGTTGAAACGGAATAACCTACTACAAAAAATGATCAGAAATGCAGTTTTTCTTCATTCGAATTGAACTTTCACAATGGTACGTTTTTTTTAGGCTCGCGTAGTTTGGACCCCAAAAAATACTTGACTCAAGAGTATTTGTTTAACGATGATCACTTTTGTTGTCAAGTTTCATCATTCTTTTTTTTTCGAAAATTAAAGGAGCTACACTACAAGGTAGCCTAGATTTCGTACTCTATCGTGCTCCCCTATAAATGAACTCGGTGGAACCGAAATTTGTTTTTCTTATCACCTCCCGCCGCACAGTTATAACCTGTGACTAACCAATCGTTTTGAAATTATCACCAGTTTTTTTTTGGTGTGATTTCATTTCATTGTTTTCCGCCCTGATAGTTATAAATTTGCTTTATTCACAACGATTCATTTTTTTCTATATATCACGAGATTTTTTTCATTTTTTTAAATTCGCTATTTTTTTGTTTTTTTCTGGAAGCTCCTGTTGCTCGTTTTTTAGTTGAACTGCAATATTTTTTTATATTTCTACGGAAAAAAAGCTCTATTTCCAGTAAAGATGCTCGCCTACGAATTGAAACAAGCTGTGAGCTTCCGGCCGGTTATTGAAGTTGTCGCGACTTTGGAAAGGCGATTCAAAACGTTTATCGGCGTCGTTTGGCTCTTCGGAGTCGTTTATCCGCTTTGCCTTTGGGCCACTTTCTTCCCTTTCGTTTTGGTAGGTTTTCATGACTTTGCGAAAATTATTCTGGCTTAACTCTGTAAATATCGAGCATTTCCTTTTTTTTATTTACTGAGAAAATTTTTTTTTTTAGTTTGAAAGGTTCCTATCCCAGTGCTTTATTTTAAAAGTCAACTAAAAAACTTTTGAAAAATTAACTTTCTTCGATTTTTTTATCCGATAATGTCAATGAATGGGTGTAGTTTTGAACGATTTCTTCAAAAGCCCTATTAAAATTTTCAAAATAATAGAATATTAGAAAAAATTTGGACCATTTTTTTCCGAAATGATTCTAATAAAAGCTCTTTCATCTGAAAAATATTCTTCAATTCTCTAAATACTCTCATTTTACTTGTAGCTCTTCACGGGCCAATGGATTTTGCTCGCTTTGTACGCCGCCTGGTTTATTTACGACAAAGATGCTCCGAAAATGGGCGGCTACACGGCCAAGTGGTTCCGATCGTCAGTCTTTCCTCCTGTTTTTATCAGTGTCCCCGTGAAAATCCCATTCGTTTCTCTATCAGACTCCAATCTTACACAACCTTTTCGTTGAAATGATGATAAAACTGATAAGAATTTCCAGATGGAGAATCCACAAATGGTTTGCACAATATTTTCCAGTTCAACTCCACAAAACGGTCGACTTGCCCACTGATAAGGTTTGAGGGAAAAATAGAATTTTGAGAGAAATGAAAATGATTTTCAGAACTATCTACTCGCCTACCATCCCCATGGGATTTTGGGAATGGGCGCATGGGCCTCTTTCAGTACCAATGGATGTGGATCTTTTGAAAAGGTCGGTTTCAAAAGGAAATTGGGGATTTTGCAGGGTTTTGGGTTGAAATACTGTTTTTTTTTTTTGTTAATTCAGAAAAAAAATGGGTGAATTTATGAAAACTGTATATGAAGGTACTTGAAAGGTGCTTTGAATATCGTTTGAGCGTTCTTAAAAATTTAAATTTTTAATTTGACGAAAAGAGAGGAAAATGAGAATATTAGGTTCATTTCATTGTAGTTCTTTCATGTGTTTGTGTAGATATTTCTTTGACTTAAATTTCGAGAACATGAAAAAAAATTTTTAAATGTTCAGAAAATTTCCTTTTCGATCTGAATTTTAATGGGCTTAATTTTTAAAAAAATCTTTAAAAAAAATTTTTAAAAAAATGAAAAAAATCGTTCCTCACCAAGTCGATTTTTTTCACAAACTGATTTTTTTCCCTTCAGTATCCCGGCATCCGCTTTTCGCTCTGCACACTTCCTATCAACTTCAAATCCATGATCAGGTTGGTTTTACCTAAGAAGTTTTCCAAAAATCTAATTTTATTTCAGACGAGAGATCCTGATGTTGCACGGTGTCGTGGAGAGCTCCAGAGAAAGCATCGAATATATTTTGAACTCGGAGGAAAAAGGAAAGGCCGCAGTGATTGTTGTAGGTGAGAAAATAAGGAAAAGAAGGGGAAAACTCGATTATTTTGAAAATTGGATTAAAAACGGGTGAAGACTGATTTTTTTTCGCATTTTTTAATTATTCAAACGTAAAATAAAAATGAAGGTTTCAATTCGGTTTCGTTTCCAGGTGGAGCCGCTGAAGCTCTAGAAGCTCATTCGGGCAAACATACCCTGACTTTGGCCAAAAGAAAAGGATTCGTCCGGGAGGCTCTCGTGACCGGGGCCAGCCTCGTCCCCGTCTACGCGTTTGGAGAAAATGAGATTTTCCGACAGGTTGGAAAAAAAAGGAAAAAAAATTGAGGAAATCATGATTTTAGGTCAAAAACCCGGTCGGCTCTCGGCTGAGACGGTTCCAGGAATGGTCCAAAAAGACTTTTGGCGTCTCCTTGCCGGTTTTCCATGGCAGAGGATTCTTGCAGGTATGATAGAAAAGCTTTAAAAAAAACGATTTGTTTTAAATTTGAAACAGAAGTTTTAATAACCCTGGGTATCGAAAATTAATAGGATTCGTGGAAGTTTCGAAAAATCTCAATTTCATTCAACTTCAGACCACTTTTAGTACGGTAGTTTTAGCTGGATAACTAGCTAGATAGTTTTATGTTACTATTAAAAAGACAATTGAACGATCTCAGGCGTCAGTACTACCAAAAACCTCCAGTTCCTTGGTCCAAAGTTTGATCATCTCCGATTTTCAGCCCTTCATCGGCTATCTCCCCCTGAGAAAGCCAGTGAACGTGGTCGTTGGGGCGCCGATCGCCACGGAAAAGTTGCCAACGCCGACCCCAGAACAAATCGATGAACTCCACCAAAAATACATCGAAGCCCTGAACGACTTGTTCGAGCAGCACAAGGCAAAATATGGCGTCGCCGCCGATGTTCACTTGATTTTGCAATAGTTTCTTCAAATTTATTCGCTTCACATATTTATTGCCACCCTACTAATCACTTCTTTTCATTGATATTTATTAATTTGTTACTGGAAGTTAAGGGCTGTGCGCAGCTAAAGTCTGGTCCTCATTTTTCTAGAAAATTTGAGGGTCGGGTATAGGGTTCAACTATTCTTCATGCAATATATAAACTTCAAAATCATTTATCAGGAAAACTGAGGTAAATTGAGGCACTTCTTTGATATTATTGTGACAACGTTGGTTTAACTTTTGGCCAAGTTCATTTTTACAGCCTTTTTCTTGGTGCTTTCAGCTTCAAAAAATGGAAAATCATAAGTTTGATCAAGCCATAATCTTCCAAGCTACATAAAATGATTTCAATTATCTTTTTTCTCCATTTTCTTATCCACAGCCCTTCTTCCAGACGCTTATAACTCATTGGAACATTGCCGGTTCATTTTGTGATCTTCATAGTTATTTCTCACAACTTTTCTCGCAACACCCTTGCTTTTTCTGGTCGTTGTTTACTTTTAGCCAAATTGATTCCCATAAAAAAACGGCGGCGCCGTTATTCGAGTATTACTTTTTCAATTAAGTTGTTATCCTTCCCCTCACTTATTGTGCCTTTTTCCCAATTTTTCACGCAAATTATTTATTGCCTCGTAATCTTGTACCTTTTACCATGGAAACTTCTTGTAGGAATTGCGGTTTTCAGACCGGGTTTTTTTTAAAAAATGTATAATCTAATCGTTCTATAATGCTTGTCAAGTAAGAGATTGATCATGTTCCAAACAATAAACTCCTTTTTTCACCAGAAATCAACTTTTCTCCAAAATAATGGATACGAAAACTTCCTTTTTACCGTGGGATCCAGCCTAAAATTGTATCCGAAATAAGTTCCCACGTTTCCAAACGAGAAAAGAGATTTTAGCGAAATCGATTCAACTAGATCTTTAGTTATAGCTGACTCATTAGTGATGCTCAAAACTTAGCCTCTGAAAGTTTTAATTCTCGAAAAAGAAATCGCAAAAACCAACTTTTTTTTTGAAATCGTGGGATGCGTCTAAATTTGAGCTGAAAACGCGTTCCCACGTTTCTGAGCTGAATTTTTTTTGCAAATTTTCTTCATTTTCAATTAGTTGAGCTTTTTTTCTGTGGACTATGAAAATTTTTATACGAAAGAATCGTTCAAACAACAAGAAAATTATCAGAAACGCGTAGATTTAAAAAAAGTTTGTGGTTTACAATTTCAATATACTTTCATCATCAGGGCCTCTTTTTAAACCTTTTTTGAAGGTTTGATGAACTTTTTCTGCTTCGAATTGTGCTTTAAAAGACGGAAATCACGAAAAAACTCATAGGCTCCGAAGAAAATGAACGGAGTTTCAAGCTGAACGAGTTGTGGAACCAAAAAGGTTTGCTCTTTTTATCTCTTTTTTTTCAGGCTTGTAAGTCGAAGAATGGGTGACTGGACTACATATTTAGGTACTTAGAGCATGAAAAAAATATTAAAGGTTTAAATTTTTCCGTTTTTCTGTCAAAAGAATGTCTAGGGATTTTTTTGTTTTTTTCTTATTCTTGATTTTTTTAATCTGGTCAGTCTAAAATTTGAGCTTTTATCATGAAAAAACCGAAGTTCTCTAATTTTTTTTAAAATTGTCATCAAAAGTTGAGTTTATGTCTAGGGATCACTAGTGAATAATTATTTTCGAAAGTATAATTTTTTTTTCTTCGGATCGTCGGTTCCATCTGAATTTGAACTGAAAACACGTTTCTGAGCTCTTTTTCATTTTTCATTAATTTGACGTGAGACTTTGGATTTCAAGTTTTATTTTTTCCTTGATTATTTTCATAATCTTTACTTTAAAACTATATACTTATGCATAATGAATGTCTAGATTCAAATTTAAGTTTAGTAATTCACTAATAAGATCGAAACACCAACTTCTTTTCTACTCGGACTCGTGGGATTCATCTAAATTTGTACTGGAAACATGCTCCCACGTTTTTTTTTCTGCAGAGAAGAGATTGTAGCGAATATTCTAGTTAGGTTGGTCTTCAATATTTTTCGGATGCGCTAAAAATTCTCTTTGCTTTTTTTCTAACGTCGAAAGTTTATAAATGAACTGAACAAATTATCGAAATAAACAAAATTAGGAAGATTCGTTTAAAATTTAGCTCCGAAAAAAATTTTTTTAAATAAGATTTTTATTGGGTCTAGCGGATGCGAAAAAAATGAAAAATGTGTTTTTTTGGCTTTTTTTTTTTGAAACTTCCAAAAAACTACCGCTCGCACTTTCAAGCACTTCCAATTTTTTCCATGACTCATTGAATATTTTTCAAGGAACGACGTTTTTTATTTTAATACGACGCCTAATACGTTGTTTCCCCGAAAAGTGTGTCTTTTATAATCTTCTTCATTCGAATTTTCGCCGATAATCTCAAGATTAGGCCACTTTTTCTGACTACGATTCTGCGACGTGAAAAAGGCTTTCGTGTCGTTTTTATTTATTATTTTTTCATTATCAGTATTTTTCCCGGATCGTTACGTAGTAAATCTCCTGATCTCTGGAATAACAGAAAAAAAGGGGATTTTTTTAATCATGGGCGAGTAGAAACAACGGAAATTGAGGCTAGGAATAGATCTTATTTTTTTGAATCTTTCATTTTTTTATTTAATGAAAATAAAATTAGCAAATTTCTGACACCGACTTATTTTTCAGAAATTCATGATTCCACCATATATCTTAAACAAAAATTTTGATGAAACTGTGATAAAAAAATTTAATTTTTTTAAAATTTCACCCTAATTTCCTACATAAACTCGTTATTCTACATTTTTTTGAAGATATCAGAACAAAGAAAACTCCCACTAGGTTCCTGTTTCAACTGAAGGAAAACTCTGAGAGTAAACTCATTCAAAATATCCCATATATTGGACCCGACGCAATCACATAACTTTGGAGTGGTTCTACATTTCAAGAAGTTTTTTTCTATTTGAATCTTTTTTTTTTTGAAGTAAATTTAGCTTTTTTCTTCATTTCGCCCTCAAAGTTATGTAAATGCGAAATCCAACAACAACGATTAATAGAAGAAAGTTCTTGTTTTTGCAGAAAAATGCCCTTTTCATGCCATTTTTGCTCTGGATTTTTCTCTTGTCCTTTGCTCTCCAAAAATGACCTTATCAAGTCATTTTTAAATTAATTAAGTTATTAAAACACGTCCTTTGAGCTTTGAGTGCTTAACGATCGAAAAAAAAATGAAAAAAAAGTCGTGGAAAAATAAAAATCCCACCCAAAACTACCCAAAAAATGTGTCATTTCCATACAACTTCTCATTGCAAAAAAAATTTTTTTTTTCGAAATTCTTTTAGAGAATGATAATGCGATCAGAATGATCAATAAGCAAAAAGTTGTTTATAGTTTACTCGGCTAAATTTATTTTTTTGAGGTTAAATAAAATTAACGGCTTCAAGTTCATTTTTTTCAGAACGTGTCAAGCTTGGTTTACAAATTCGGTTACTGGATTTTTTTGAAAATTATCGGATTATCTCTGTAAATTATTAATTCCAGTTCTTAATGTTTCAGGAATATTTGAAAAAAATTCGTTGAAGTAGAGAAAAAAAGAGAAGAAGCCTGTGCGAAAGTTGTAGGCATTTTAATTTTTTTAGAGTGACCACTTCAAAATCCCCACAACCTTATCAATTCATAGCCCATCAAAATCGTTATCAGATCTTTTCGAAGTCAAAATAGATTACGTCAAGATGATTTCGACTGATTGATGGTGTCTATGAGAAAAATTGAATTTCAATTTTGAAAACTTTATTGTAAATTCCCGTAATTTCAGCATTCAAATCAAATTTAAAAATCAAAAAAAGTGAATTTTTTCGGTGGAGTCCAATTTCATCCATCTCGTTTTCTCGAATTTTCCATTTCTCGACAGGATTTTCGTATGCTAACTTAAGACCCAAAATATCGAGAGTTTATCGAAAAATTTAAAAAAAAAGAATAAACGCATTGCTTTTCTGTGCTTACAAGTGTTAGAACACACCTTGATCCATTTTTTTCGACTTTTTGATAGCCTTTTAGTTTTTGGCAGTTTTTTTATATATCCAGACGGACTAAAAAAATTTAAGAGATTTCATAAAGTTTTTTTCTTTCAGTTAAATTTTGATTAATTTTTTTAAAAAAATTTCTTCCTTGACACTTCCTCTGTTTTTTTGAACCCTCTAGGGATATCAAAGAACCGTAAATCCCAAAAACCAGCCGATTTGTTCCCTCGAACCACCCGAAATCGAACAAAAGGCACTAAATCCAGATGATGCGCTAAATTGTCTAGGTAAAACGATAACCAGACGAACTTATCATTGGAGATTAATAGAGGAGATAATGGTTAACGCCTCGCATGTGTTAAGCGGATTATCAACGTGTTATATCACCCGATTTTTCCATTTATTCTTCTGGTCAGTTCGACTGATCCATTCATCTCTATCTTCAATTACTGTTTTAGACCAAATGTTTTAGACAAACTCGCACGTCAAAATATTGTCCCATTAGAAAGGTTATTTTCTTTATTTGTTGGGAACCTTTTCGATTCACAGAATATTTGATGTACAAGTTAAAGTCTCGATTCTCAAATTTTTCCAGTCTCCAAAAAATAAGGGCTCAAATTTGGCAAATATGGAATTTTACCGTTGAAAAATTGGCTTTTTTACACTATGAGACGAAAAAAAATCACCAAAAAGTTTAAAGCAAGATATTTTTCAAAGTCGTCCTTATGCTCTGAATGATCCCGTTCTTTTATTTTAGCAGCCTTTTTCAAAAATTTGAGCGCATATAACTTTTTTTCAAAGATCTACTTGGCTATTTTCAAGCCTAGATCGAGAATCAGCGTTCATAATCGCACCCAATGATTCTCATCTGATTAATAGTCCCACTCTAAGCCGAGTTCACGTCCTTCTCCGGAAGACCCTCTTTTTTTTTATTATTTTCCTCATTTTTATTTTTTCC